CTAATAAATGTCTAATAGACGTCTAAACATAGTCATCTTTGGCTAAAACAAGGCTAAATTTGGCCTGTCAGTAAAAACCTAATAGACGTCTAAGAATAGGCAAAAATAGACTAGTCATCAAATAAATAGAGTTTTCTAGTTTTCGGCTATTCTCAGATGTCTATAAGATTTTTACTGACAGCCCAAGTTTAGCCTGGTTTTAGCCAAGCTATTAAACATAGAATTGTTTACTGGGAAATAGCTCTTTTGCACTATATTATTTATTTAATAAAATAGTTTTATTTTTGAATGAGTTGCAGAATGAGTGCAGAAATAACAAAGTATCACTATACAATAAACAAGGTTGTTTTAGGAGAATATAAACAGTAAAATACGGTTCATTTGACATGGCTTTATAACAAAATCCATTCACAAATAACAGGCCCATTATAGCGATGAGACATACAGAGAGAAAAGACTCCTTTTATATCTGTCACTGCAGCCGATGCATTGGGGTAAGTGCGTAATTAATATGTCGGATCCAATCAGACTCCACATGAATTGTGACATCATGCGCCTCTGCTCAGGTCTTGAAGGGCGGATGCAATGGGAGCCAGAAAAGTTGTATTTATTACAGGTTGACTGGTTTTGTGGTTTCTCTTATGTCATTTGAAAACCACAGTTTCTGCTGCTTAAGTTTTTTCAGGTTAGGATGCTTGTAATTTACTGGTCTAGTTGGTTATAGAGGTTTGAATATATGTGCTATTTCTGTGCACATACTGTACATGCTGTAAAGTGCTGAATAATGCAGATGTGACAGATGTGATTTATATAAGTCAACTTAAATTTAATGATCTCTTGCTTGAGATGACAAACAGGTGAGTTTAAAAATATACTGTATATATAATTTTCAAAAAGTCTTATGTCCAATGTCTGGTGTGTCTACTGACTCGGGGTGGGGGGGTGGGTCTGATTCACTTGTTTGAGAGAGAAAAATGTTGTTTTGATGGTATCCTGCCCTTATGCAGCCACAAAAATCATAAATCAAGTGTATCTATTGCAAGCATAGATTAGATCTATTCTGTTATATTACCATGTTTTGTACACGATTTTAACGAATTTAATTAAAAAAAACATTTCTGATGTGGCGTTTAAAACTCTTGACGTCTGGCAACTGAAAGCATAAAGGTCATAGGCTTGTATGGCTCTCTGTAAAGTTTAACTTATTTGTGTTTAGTCATTTTTGGTTTGCATTGGGATAGTTACAATTTATTGCTTAATGACTGATAAAAAGGCACTAAGCTGAAGTGAAATGAATGAATGAATGACCTTGCTGTCTTGTCTTAGTCATGGGGGAGATTACGGAAAATTGCGGTTTGCGCCGCAGCACATGGTCTAAAAGGATTGTGTTTATTCTCTTGATGAGTTATGTTTTTTTTTTTTAGCAAAAACCTCTCATCTCATCTCCCATTCTCTTTAAGAGTCAAAAAACCATTAAGCATCACATGGTTAAAAAAGATCAATTCAAATACTCTCAACCCATACGTTTTACTGCAGAAAGAAAAACTCCTACAAACACATATGCTGTAAGTCAGCCACAAAAATAAATGCTAATAAATCCTGATTTTAGTTTTAGAATAACAAAAGGGGGCTTACGCTGGCACAAGCGTTTAGCAAATCTGCCTCATAGTGTCTACAGTGTTAAAGGCAAAGTAAACAACAGAGCTCACACCTCTATCAATATGCTGGCCCAGAGACCCAATAAGTTGATATCTGATTAAACGTGATTGATACCGATGTTAATGTGTTCAGTGAGGGACGCAGCATCTGAGGACCAGGCTATGATGACGTCTTCCATCACCGGGGTTAAGAGTAAAGGTGCACGCTCTCGTCTGCTAGAACATTCTGAGCGCCAAACCAGACAATGTGTGAGTGAGAGAAAGAGAGATAGAAAGGGGTATTTATAAACACGCTGGATGCTAAAAGCAAGCGTTTTCAGTGCGTAACGTCCAATAAGAATGCAGCTCTTGCAGTCACGTGATTGTAGACTTGGAAGGAATGTACAGACAGAATTAGGGTGAGAGAGAAAGAGAGAGAGAGAGAGAGAGAGAGAGGAGGGGGATTTGGAGAGACGCAGAGTCATCTCAGCCTCTGTGTTGAGGAAGGTTTAGAGACTGGCGCTCTAGACAAACTCACTTAAATCAATGCCGATTACTGACAGACAGACACCTTGATACAGAACAAATCTATCCAGAGAGAGAAGGACTGTGTGAGGATGTCGTCCCAGCGCTCAGAGTGCAGAGATCTGTGCTCGGTGCCACCCTCAATGCCAGGCTTGGCATCATCAACAGCTGCCCAGGGCTGGAACTGGCAGCAGGGGCAACCAGGCAATCTGCAATCCTCCAGACTGGTAGAGGATGACAAGCAGGACCTTTCCACCAAGTCGACAGTAATCAGCCAGGAGGTGGACCACCGGGTAAATATTTACCCGGGAAGCAGGGGTCTGAAGAATTTGGGCAGTACAGCAGAAAGCCCCACAAGCCTCTCATCCTCTCCATCGCCCTTGTCTCCAGGGAAAGCCATTTCCCCCAATGGGGTGACATCGGGACCTTCACCGCGGAGTGCAATCTTGTCATCTTCAGATTGGGATGCACCCCGTGGCACCTTGCAAACAGGCCCCGCGCCGAACTATTGCGTGATCGGTGTGGTGAATGACAGCTATGTAGAGGGTGTGGTAGAGGGCAAAGAGGAGACACCCCCACCCATATCACCCCCCCTGCAACAAAACCGGGTGTTACAGCGCACAATGTCAGGCAGTACCCACCTGACAGTGCCCGCTAGCCTTCAGCTGCCTGATAAATATCCAGGCAAGGATGTGCCGTCGCCACCACAGACCGTTAAATACTTCACCGTAGAGGACAAGCAAAGTGTTCTGCCGTCTATGAGTATCCCAACAGCTCCTGCTATTGAGAAAGAACAGTCTGTTGGTGTGCCACAAACTTCTGGCAGGATACTGTTAATGCAAGAGTCTTCGGAAAAGGGGAATGTGGCTTCTTCTGGTCACATTCAGCCCAAAAGTAGTAATGGTAGGTAAGATAAGCTGCTTGATATGCTGGTGTGTGTTTGGGATCTATTCAGTGGATGATGGATCTCTAGATATCCAGGTATTGGATCGCAACTGGTGTCTCTGTGCATCAACAGTTGATTTCTGTTTTAGTTTGGCAGAGCTGGGCATCCATTTCCATTCAAGACTTAGAGTTGTAATGATTTTTTAAATAAGAATTTTATGATCACTGAAGCTGGAATTATTTGATCAGAATAGAGTAAAGTAGGAAGGTATAGTGAAATTTTATGATTATTATAACACATTTTTTCTTTATCAGGCATTATTCCAGTTTGCCGTGTAACACAAATCTTTAAAAACCATACTAGTATGCTGAAATGATGCTTAAATGGATAGGTTACATTAAAATTTACTTTTTAAGGGGTTCCAAACTTTTAGAAACCAGTAGCCATTGACACAAAGTGTAGAAAAAAAGGTACTACTGAAGTAGTAGGCTGCTAGTAAAAGCTATCTTCTTTTGTGTTTGTTTCACATTTAGCTTGTCATGTATGTATTCTGTTTAAGATGTTGATTAATTGAAAGAAGTGATCTGCAATATCTCAAGCAGATAGATTGCATCTTTTGTTTTGTTTTTGTGTGTGTGTGTGTGTGTGTGTGTGTTAACACACCTGAAGAAGACAGATTGGCAGATGCTGAGGTTAGAGATACAAATATTAGACAGACAGGAAGATGGATCAGACTTGTTGTGTGTGCCTCCGGCCGTCTGCTGGGATGCACAAAAATATCAACGTCAACCTTCGGATGTCCTTTTGTCATAACCCAATGTTGAGCCCTCATTTCACACGTACATACACTCTGGTATATTACCATCCATTAATCTGTCTGTATCTGAAAAGCTTCAGAAGAGGATATAAAGCCAGAGATCCTAAAAGGTCTGTGGAGAATATAAATGTAAAAAATGATCAATCTTTTGACTTTATAACTGATTATAAAGGAAAATTTAGCAGATTTTTCTGCAAGATGGAAATAAAAGGAAAAAATTGTTATTCGTTATGTGAAAAAAAACCCAAATTGTTTACAATTCACCAGTTTTCAAACCAAATTAACAAAATAATCGTACATTCTTAGTCTAAAATCTATATAAATATTGCTGAAACTGAAAAATAATAATGATATCGTAATAATAATTGGAATATTTGTGTGATTATGTTGATTCTTGTCATTTTGAAAGACTCTTTCATCCTGTTTCAGGAACAGTGTGCCCTTTCTTTCTGTTGTTTCTTTCTGTCTCTCTCACACAAACAGTTTTTGGTGTTTCGGTCTTCCGCTGGCCATTGATTTTTCACTTTGTAGGGAGAATGGTGCCAAGTTACATAAGGCATCCAGGCTGACAATGTGCTTTTCTGTCTGTCCGCTCAAGGCACTGTCACTTTCTGTGCCCTCTTCCATGACCTTTTATTCTTATTGTCAGAATGTACTGAGACTGAGGCATAAAGTGTAGCTTGCTGTTAATTAATGTTCCAAAAACAACTTGTATATCTGAGCAATCTACAATCAAAAGCTGTGTGTGAACAGACATCTCTAATCACGTACACTTCCTAGTAAACAATTTTTTGCTTAATAAACATCTTATAAACATTTAAACGTAGACAGCATGGACAAAACAAGGCTAAACTTGGGCTGTCAGTGATAATCTGACAGACATCTACGAATAACCCAAAACTAGACTGTTTGAATAGACAGATTTTATATGTGTAGTCATTCATTTCGGTTTATTTAATGACTAGTCTAGTTTTGGCCCATTCTTAGATGTTTATTAGATTTTCACTGACAGCCTAATTTTAGCCTTGTTTTTGCCAAGACGACTATGTTTAGATGTCTATTAGGCAATCTTTAAAAACAAAAAATGCTTGCTGGGCTGCTTCACTAAATATGAACATTTGTCTTGTTTTCAAAGTGAAAGAAGATAAGACAGCCAAGGACAAAATGGAGAAGGTGGAACCTGCTCCAAAGGTGGACAACTTCCACACTATTGAAAAGCAAGACAAGCCTGAGAAGATGGAGAAGATCGATCACTTCGACAAGAAAGAAGACATCTCTAAGAAAACAGACAGCATGGAGAAGACTCAGAAGAGTGAGCAGATCATCAAAGATGAGAAGAAGGTTGAGAAGGAGGAGAAGCAAGATACTAAAGCTGAGAAAAATGAGAAAGCAGACAAACCTGAGAAGACAAACAAGGAGAAAGAGGAGAAGAAAAACGATGGAGAGAAAGTAAACAAGACAGTCAAAACTGAAAAGAATGTGACGGCTGCAAAAACACCTGCGAAGTCTCCAACAGCTAACGGAAGCAAGGAGGTGACCAGTCCGGATAGTAAGACTAAGGTAAATGTAAAAAACAGATCTATATTTATTCATCTAATGTGCTTCTGCCACATTTGAGAAGATAAGGGTTTTCTCATCTTTAATAAATATTTATTAAAGATCAGTTGCCCAAAATCACGGTTATGTGATTTCTGAAAAGTTTGTACACCCATTGCTGCTACCTTGATTTTATCACGCTCCCATGTTTGCATCTAGTTTTTTCTTTTGTGCTTTTTGCAAAAACATACTTATAGCCTTCAGCTGCATCAACCAAACAAAGCTCAGCGAGACCAAACTCGCTGTCCACTGGCGACAGTGCAGGTGCCACCAAACGCACCTCTCCCACCACCAACTCTGCCAATAAAAAAAGCCCTATTCCCAAGGCAACTACCCCCACTGCTGGCAGCAAGAAAACCCCCTCGTCTACTGTTGAGAATAAGGCAAAGGTGAGTTAATGCCATTTCCCTCATCTGTGGTTTGGCACTCAGTCTACAATCAATGGAGAGACCATTTGTGGCTTTCTCCAATGCCCATCTCTTCCCTTACAATCTGCCCATGGCTTGTCGTTTGTGTCGTTGTTAACTCGACAATTCCTATTACCAGCAAAATCTCAAGAGAGAGGCATGTTTTAGGCCAACAGATAAAATATGAGTTCAGTTTCTTTTACACTCTCTTAATGATAGATCATTTGATGGGACTAATTATATGCCTCTCTATTGTGATTAGGATCTGCCTTTTCTTCAACTGCATGGAGCTTGTGGAATATGATTGTTCTGTAATTCACTCTCACCTTTTTTTTCTGGTGTCAGTGTCTTCTATACTTGTTAACTCTACTGGTGATTTTTCAGTTAGGGGAAATTTTTGTTATGAAATTATATATATGAATTAATTGACTTGTTGATGTTAGAAATTCAAAGTATATCCACACTAATACCAAATTGCTGATGAAGGTTGATCATGTGGCTACTCTTTTCAAGTAGTCAGTGTCTTCTTTAACTGAACAATCACCATCAAACCACCCTTAAAGTCTGTGTGAAATTAAAATGTACTGTCTTTAATTTTTGTAGCTCACATTAACTATGTTTCCATCCAACTATTTTTATGCACATTTTGGATATTTGCATAAAAAATCGATTGACAGAAACGCCAAAATGCGCATAAATTTTGAAAATGCGCATAAAAAACGAATGCGCAAACCTGAGTAGGATACATTTTTTATTCTATTAGTAAAGATGCACATAAACTACGATGGAAACACTTTTACCGAACTAATTCTGCTATGCGCATTAATAAAAGTCATGTGATTTTGTTTTAAGAGATCATGTGATGTTAAAAATGTGTGTGAATCATAGACTGTAAAAGATTTGAGCGTAGTATGCGTGACGTCACCCATAGGTTTCTGGAAAGCACAAATAAAGCTAAAAGTAGGCGTGGCCAACCATCGGCATTTTTTCTCACGTGACATCGCACCAACTGAGGGTTACCAAAAAAGGGCAAGGAGGCAGAGAGTCAGTGGAGCTACAGGGACAGTTATACATTTATAGAAATGGTATATAAGTATATAATTTCACTCACATGGGAAATGGAGGCCACTTGAATGATATTATCTGTTAATTGTAGGAAATAGTTCCAAAAGGCAGTTGACTTTGTAAAGCCACATAAGACAATACAAACTAAGCTTAATAAAAATTAAACGGATCAGTTATAAAAAAAAGTTCACCTCCTCACAGTTGTCATGAATGATAAAAGTAGCTAAATGCACCAAAACCATCTTTTTTACCAGGCTGTAAACATGTTTTTATCAGCTGTAAAATTGGCCAATTTAGCATGGCAGTCAGTGAACATCTGGAGTTCCTGGAGCCAGCCCCCAAAGGCGAGTCAATGAATTGCAGTTTCAGTTACTTCTGTACTGGCTTCACGAGGGAAAGCAGGATACTGCCGCTTGGTGTGAATGAACAATCCAGCAGGCTGACCACAATGTAAAAAAAAATTTAAGTTGTTTTGGTCATTCTAAAACGCCAGTATTAGTGTTATTATATCATTAATTACCTCCATAATTGTCAAGAGTGTCTGTGCTCCGCTTTTGATGCCTTCACATGTCATTACCGTGTTCATTGCGTGTCAGCATACTGTCTTCTGAGGCACAAGTCATTTATTAAATAAAAAAAAGATTCAAACAGCTTCTTCTAATGCAGCAAATTTCATTTTTACTGTTGATATTTGGCGCCAGTTAAACAGGAAGTGACAATTTTGTACTCTTTGACTACTTGGATGGAAACACTGCTTTATTTCCATGTCTTATATGCGATATTCCAGTTATGTGCATAAATTTAATTAGAATCTTATATGGAAACATAGCTAATGTTATTCTTTATGTGAACAGTTAATTTGTGCAAGTTAATCAACTGGAAAAAATAGTTTTGGTAATTTTCAATCAAAGTCTGGCCAAATGCTTTTTTATTGAGAATGTACTGTATGTTTTTCTCTGTTGACATCAGTTTGATGGCTTCATCCACAATATTCTTAAGCACACCATACTTACTCCCAGTTTGCTATGAGGGAATGTTGTGCAAAAATAAATCCCCACCACCTACTCAATATTCAGTTTTTTAGTAGATATCCCCAACAAACAGCAGGTCTCAGCGACCTCCGGTTCATACAGACTTTAAGGCACTGTGTTTTTCTCTCCTATTATCAACCTCTTGATGTCAACTCATCATCCCTGGTCATTTGTCATTCTGCTGTCTTGTTGTTGTCTTCAGTCGTCTGAGACTGTTACAGCAAGCCAGCGTCGCCCTCCAGTGCCAAAGGCTAAAGCTGCTTCTGCTTCCAACTCTAAAAATGGCACTAGCGCCCCAACAACCACCTCTGCCCGACGCTCCTCTGGTGAGTTGTTACCTTATATATAATTTAGTCAGGGCTGAAGTTATTTTAGATGGATGAAAACCTTAGTAAAGTTCCTAAAACATATATAATTTTCAAAATAGTTTAATGACGTTTTTTTTACTGCAGAAATATTTTGTAAACAATTAGCATTTTGCTAAACACCAGTAAAATCATTTAAACACATTAAACTTCTGTCCTGTAAAGCCTTATTTTCATTCTCATTATTATTGATGTCACTACCATGACTGAAGTTAGCAGTAGCCAAGGTTAAGCAGAATTTAAAGTCAGGCATATGTATGTATTGACTTTAAAAATGGCATAGTTTAACGCATCGTTGTGTTTCACAGCTACAAAGAATGAAAACCAAGCAGGCGATGCAAAAAAGACAACTACAAAGACAACACCAGGTGAGAATCAGAGAAGTTTCTTCTCCAAATTATTTTGTTGCATAGGGTAGAGGTTTGGTTAAGCAACATCATAAATAAAATCACATAAAAGGTAAAAGTCATAACGTTGATATTCACTACATACAGCATAAAAATAACAGCTAATAGAAAAGGAGGGAACCAGCAGCTCTCCAACAAAGGCTCTAATATACTTACGATTTTTCTTTTAGGGATATGAATAATTTAAAAATCCTGAGCAATAGTATACTGTTTGCTAGGGCTGGGAGATTAGACAAAAGCATTCTAGTAATTCTCCAGCACTTTCTTTTAGATGGAGCAGCATTTACTATATACTGTAGAGTCTTGGTTCACTGACAAGCAAAACTGACTCAAAATCCTAAATCGTTTAACTGGAGAATAATAACTTAAAGACAACTAATAATGACAGCGGTTCAGTCACTTTTACATTTTTATTTTTAGTCTCAGATGTCTGACCTTGATAGACTGAACAGAAAAAAATATATATTTCCAAGTCAAATAAGGGGGAGAATCTGAGCCTATTCCAGTATATCTATTCCATCATCACCACAGAGCAATGGTGGTTGGAGTCTCCTTGAATGAACTCCAAAAAGGTTTTGGTTTTGGCCTAATTTTATTCACAATTATGTCACAACAGTACTTAATCCATTTTAAATGTGATATGAATCATTAAACCAAACAAGGCTATGAGACTAAATTAAATGAATGTCTCTTTTTTTCAGTGCACAACAAAAAAGCACCATATTAAGACAAATGCTTCAATTAGCAGAGACATGAAGAACAACAATTAAACACATTTAAATGATGATGAAAAATGCATCCTGCTCAAATAAACAGCCACAGAATTCAACACTAAAGAGAGTGAAGTGAGGAGAGATCCTCTTTGCGGTGGTCAGCAGAGGTGCTTATGTGCAAATAAAGGTGCTTACTTGCCAGTGGCTGTTCCTGAATACAGCTTTAATGGAGGCTTAAAGAGCGGGGTGAGAAGTTTACCTCCACTGTTTCATGAAAACACAGCAGTTCTGAGCTAACACACACTGACTAGTGCATTTGTTAGTCATCAGATCTGAAGCTGCTGACATAGTCAGGGATAGACTTACTCACAGAGGCCTGTCTCAAACCATCATGCTGATAGAGCCTTCAACTCCTCTCTTCATCTCTGTGTACACAACAGCCCAAAACCTTGTCACTCAGATGAGGGCCTGGCACTTCTGTGGTGGCTTAGGAAGAAAAAACATTTATGAGGTCAATGACTACATGATTTTTCTCCTCTCATGCATACTGTATTCATCCTGGATTTCTGATGTTTTCTGCTGCAGTTTTTAACATGCGCTTTACCTTTTTTCTTTATGTATTCACAGTTAAAGCAACCCCAAGGACAACCCGCACACCACCCTCTGCCACCAGCACAGCAGACACCAACGGGACCCCTCGCCCATCCCGCATCACCAAACCCCCTGTGCCCAAGCAGACTCCTCTAGAGAGGAAGCCTCCTGTGCCTCGAGCCCCCCGAAACATCCGGGCCACCAACGCACCACTACCCGATCTGAAAAATGTGCGCTCCAAGATCGGTTCCACTGATAACATGAAGTACCAGCCTGGAGGAGGCAAGGTGAGTTCGACTGTTCAGTGCAGAAACTGGAGAAACTCCATGTGTGCAAAGAATTAAATAATTTGAACTTAATAATGAGACTTATATATTAGATATCACTCTGAACCTCATGATTTTAGATTCAGTTTGATATATTATTTGGCAAAACACAATCATAAGCTCATGTTTTGTACTGTTGCTGCCAATAGAGTCGAGAAACTATGGTGTCCATTTGAGCTTGCTTGTTAGCATTACACTGGTTTCCTTGATAAAATCCCCATATGATTTTCCTACAGGATTTTTTTATTATCATTATACTTACACATTTTGTCCTTTAAGCTTATCTTCACAAAATAATGTAACTTTTAAGACTTTTAAATCCTAAATACAGGTGCAACCACAAAAAAGCTAACCTTAAGCTATTAGCGAACTACACCCTGGTCACTTGCTTTCTACATCACGACCATCTTACTCCCAATGACTTGTCGAGTTTATTTGAGTTTACCACAGACTTTATTTAAATGTTTTTAACTAAAATCTTATTTAAAAAAGACATTTGACTCGATGGATCAGAGCGATGGAACTGGAAATGCTAATATGTTTTCGTGTTACTGTATCCAAAATGGTGCCATAGTTTCTCCACTCCATAGTGCAGCAATATAAAATCTCCAAGGCCCCATTTACACTAATACGTTTTAGTTTTAAAATGGTGTTTTAGGATGAAAACGATCCACGTCCACTCTGGTGTTTCATCTAGCATTTTTGAAAAGAGCTCCGTCCACACTATACCGCTGAAAACACACATCATGTGACCAAACACACACTCTGGCATGCGCTGCAATGTATGCGTTTGTCAGATGCTCTGCGGCCACCTCCCCAGGTGAGAGCAGCGCACTTCGGACAGTTCATCAAGTATATACTGACAAACCCTCATCACATCATAGCTGTTAAAACGTAATATTTAATTCATCTTGTTTATATCTAACGACTCTTCACCTTTTGAATCTATTACTTGTTCTTAGGTAAAGCGTTTTGGCAGAGCGCAAAGATAAGATAATATATTCATTTATGTAACCATGTAAACTGATTCTGCACATTGACTGATTGCTTGCCTTTATTTCTTATATTGTATAACTTTACTACATTATTGATTGCCATTATTGATTATTAAAACTGATATTCAGGAATATGTTTCATATTTTTCAATGAAAATTAAAGGAGGCAGTTATATTAGCCTATAGGCTCCATTTTGTTATAAATATGCATACAGTGAAGATGGCGGTCATGTAAATATGTAGCTACACGATGCCTTAACATTTTTGGTGTCTGTTAAGTTGTTAATATCAAAATGAAATTAGACAGTTCCTTATATCATGTTTTCATTTTAATGTTGATATAGTGAGATAACGTAGCCTGGGTGATGTGATTAATGTTAAATGATGAAGTACCCTGCTCGCTATGAAAATTTACCCATCCTCGGAAGTTTGTTTTCCATATCAAAATTGCGAAATCTGAACTAACAAGCAAAGGATGCAAGACTGAACTATGGTCACTTAATAGAAGAAAAAGCTAGAATTCTAAAGCTTAGAAATGGCCTCTTTAAAGCGCGATAGTGTGTACGGAACCATAGTAAAACCTATTCGTTTTAAAACTAAAACGTATTAGTGTAAACATGGCCTAATTTTGTTAATGTTGCTTCTTTTATGTACCGTATGTGTCAAATTCATCTGGTTAATGTAAATTGCCATTTTTCATTTGATCAACCATGAACTTTAAGCATTAGTCTGTTTTGACTAAGCTCATAAATGCACGGCTTCTATAAATGTGCTGTGATTGACATTCACCTGCGTCAATAGAAAATTTAGCCTTCCGTTTTATTTTGTACACTGAGAATTCCTTACAGTATGTGTGTTGAATAAATTTGCTTGTCTTCCATAGCCATCTCCCCACCAGCTTTTTGTTCACCAGCTCTATGAAATGACCTTGAAACTGGATTTGTATCTGTGAAAGTCTAAAAAACACAAAACATTTGATTCGGCTATTTCCATATTTTTCCATATATTTGTATTCAAACAATGACTGCCTGCTAAAGGTCTCAGTGCATCATTAAAATTAAAGTCTTTCATGATATCTTTTATTAGCATAATGTTTGCTCTCTGGGTTGTGTCTTTCATTAATATTTAAAAGGGTAGTTCACTAAGTGTTGAAAAGTCATAATTTTCATGATTGTTACTTCAAACTTATGACTTTCAGGGGGAAAATAAATAAATATTTTTTGAAGAAGAAAAGATTAAAAGAAATGTTTTACCCATACATTAAAATTTATTTTTTTCATATAGCTATATATTGTAAGATCTACTTTTATAATCATTAATTTTATTGTATGACATTTAGATTACCAAAATATTATCTCCAATGAAAGCAATAAGTTTTTTGTTTTTAATACATAACTAATACTATGTATGTAAATAATAAACAGTGGTACTTTCTGCCACAAAAAAAAACTGATTAAAAAACATTAAAAATGAATATGTTAATATGTGTAAATGAATGTTCTCTTTGGGTGTGAAAACAGCATTTTAAAAAGCATTCAATAGTTTGTAGCATAATATAACTGTCACTATTTGTATCTGTAAGACTGTAGTTTTAAGTAATCTCATTTCTTTGCTTGACACATTGACATTACATGTACACAATGAATGTCTCTGCATTATCCTGAGCATTGTATAACCATTCATTTCTAGATTCATAGTTCTAAAGAGAACATGGGGGAACATGTATAAAGACATTCACATATAATTCAATCTACAGCCTTTCATAGACTTCCTAAGGAAGGGGTGTCCAAACTCAGTCCTGGAGAGCCGGTGTCCTGCAGACTCGACTCAACACACCTGCATAGATGTTTTTAGAAAGTCTAGTACTGTAAGTGCTTGATTAGCTAACCCAGGTGTGTCTGATTGGAAAATAAACTTTGCAGGGCACCGGCCTTCCTGGACTAAGTTTGGACATCCCTGTCCTAAGGCATTGGGGAAGGTTCTTGCATAAATCATTGAATCAGATTAGACCATTAGCATCTTCCTAAAATAATTCAAAAAAGAGTTTTGATAATTTTTCTATGTAAAGCTTGACCATTTTGTTGTTACATGCTATACTAAGGCAGTTTGCCACAGTAACATGGCTGCAGCAGGCACATTTATATTATGCAGCGATGCTACCTTGTTACCTAGCTGGGGATTATTTTCAGGTGCTGTATAATATAATTGCACCTGCTGCAGCCATGGTACAGCAGCAACATTTCTTGATTATTACACCAGAATAAGAGAACAGTTCCTAGCCATATTTACCTTGAAAATAGCACATTTTTATTTAGTACATGATGTAACTGAATAGTCAAGCTTTAAATAGGAAAATTATCAAAACCCTGTTTTTGATTGAGATGCCAATGTTCAAATCCAATTCAATGATTTATGCTAAGCTAAAACTGCTCCTAAATGAGAGATCGGCTGAATAGGTTTCAAAATGGTAAAACGCAACTGTTTAAGGCAATGTGTAAAAAGTAAAACGTGGAGTGTTCCTTTAAGTGTGATTCCCCCTGTACTTTTTATGACACACAAACTGATTGGAACTAGCACATAACCCAGTCATTGTGGTACATCCTATTCCTCCCTCTCTTGGACCTGTGACCCTGAGCTTTCTGTTCTTCCTCCCTGCACTGCACTGGCTAAAGGGGTGCTTGTCTCCTCAGGTCTCTGCAGCCCAGGGCAAGACCGATGCTCTGCCAAAGACCAGCCAGGGCAAAGTGAGTCCATCCCAATGACATCTGCCTGACTCACTGCCTCGCTATCACTCTCTCTCTCTCTCTTTCCTGCTCTTAATCTCACTGTCTTTCCAAAGATCATCAGATCCTCTTCAAACCTGCTTACACAACCCACATTTTTACCAGTGTACGCAGAACCACTTAACACTGAGCATTTGTGTAATGCAGTTAGGGTGAAAGTATGGGTTCTCTGGATAAGGAAACACATTAACAGTGGTTGTTGTACATAAACATTTCCATGAGTTTTATAGAAATTATGTCATTTGTAAATTTAGCACTGCACCATTCTGTCGCTCAGTTATTCACCAGTAAGCATTGTGCCACATTTTGTGGACTATTCATAGAGTCTGGCTAACCATTGATACCAGTTAAATGTCATAGTGTGTTTGTTCTCAAGCTCTGCACTAATGAAAAAAAGTGTAAGTGCATGTTATACAGACTTAGCAATAGGATTGACTTTAGACTGCAATTGATTTCTTAGCCTACATTAGATTATTGTATTTTTGCTTTTGTCTTTAAGGAACAAATTGTTTTCCACTGCGCATACTGTATAATGTGCAGCTTACCTTTCTTGCAGCTTTCTACACAGGAGACTCTGGCAATTTTTGGGAAACATAATATAGCCTGAAAATGGGCTATAAAATGTCTTTTAAAAAATACTTATACGCATTATATTATATATATTATATTCTATTTATTTTATTAACTGGGGGCATACAGTGCATCCGGAAAGTATTCATAGCGCTTCACTTTTTCCAAAAATTTTTGTGTTACAGCCTTAATTCAAAATGGATTAAATTTATTTATTTCCTTAAACACATTGTGTTAAATGCACAACACCCCATAATGACAATGTGAAAAAAGATTTTTTGAAATTGTTGCAAATTTATAAAAAAAAAAAATTAAACCTGAAAAATCAAATAAACATAAGTATTTAATGTCTTTGCTCAATACTTTGTTGATGCACCTTTGGCAGCCTTTCAGTCTCAAGTATTTATATAATGCCACAAGCTTGGCACACCTGTCTTTGGGAATTTTTGCCCTTTCCTCTTTACAGTACCTTTCAAGCTCTATCAGGTTGGATGGGAAGCAGCCATTTTCAGATCTCTCAAGAGATGTTTAATACTCACTCAGCTTAGATGGCTGGCCAGCTCTAGGAAGAGTTCTGGTGGTTCCAAACATCTTCCTGTTACGGATGAGGGAGGCCACTGTGCTCATCGGAACTTTTAGAGAAGCAGTAATTTTTCTGTAGCCTTCCCCAGCCTTGTGCCTCGAAGGTCTACAGACAATTCCTTTGTCTTCATGCTTGGTTTGTGCTTTGACATGCACTGTCAACCCTGGGATCTTATAGCTGAATCAGCTGAATTTACCACAGAGTAACTCCAATTAAGCTGCTCAAACATCTCAAGAATGATCAGTGGAAACAGAATGTATCAATTCAGAGCTTCACGCCAAAGGCTGTGAATGCTTCTGTACATGTGATTTTTTTTTCAGGTTTTTTTTGTTTGTAATAAATTTGCAACAATTTAAAAAAAAAAAATGTCACATTGTCACTATGGAGTATTGTGTGTAGAATTTTGAGGAAATAAATTAATTTAATCCATTTTGGAAAAAGTGAAGCGCTATCAATACTCTCCGGATGCACTGCATAATAGGTTTTAATAGTATAATACTAGATAACTTTGCTATTCTAAAAAAATGTGAAAAACTTTATTGTTGAAAAGGTGTTGCAAACATGTAATATTACTTATAAGCACCCTTAAATTAAATACATATGTGTTTCACACGATGACCTGCAGCCTCCTGTTGTTTTAAAATGTCATTTTTATTTTCAGATGAGCTTTGCATGTTAATAACTGAATAGACTTTATATCTACTTGTGTTTCTGCTCAAAGGATCATCGTCTTGTTTTTTGTTTTCAGCAAATTCATCTGTTTTCGGGCATAACCTTTGAGCTATGCAGTTAACACTAAATTACATTTGCTTTTCCTGGAGTGGTCCGATTCTGCAGGTCAAATGTAACAGAGTTAGACTGTAGACCCTTGAGTGTTTTAGCATTACCTGAGATTAACGCAATAAAGTGAGCTTTAGGCCGTGAAAAACAAACACTGAGTCAGACAAAGTGTTCCTGACCTGCTGTTACTCTGTCCAAACAAATATATGAGTCACACAAAGAAATTCACCCAGCAGACAATGCTTTTATCAGAATCTACCTGAGGGCAGACACATAATATACACGTTAAGAGAATGAAGTAATTAAAAATAACTAATAATTGAGTAGCTTGATTTTACACAGTTCAATGTATATTGAACATGATTTTGTGTTTTCACTGGCATTGTAATACTCTTTACTTTTTCTACAATGACATTTTATAACACACTAACAACTTTCATAGATTCAGTGTCAGTCTGTTTGCATGTGTAACAGTAGAAGAAATTAAGACAATGTGTCCTCTGTTCTGTGTTCAGGTTCAGATCGTCCACAAAAAGCTGGACTTCAGCCATATCACCTCCCGATGTGGCTCCAAGGACAATATCAAGCATGTTCCAGGTGGAGGAAATGTAGGTGCACGTTGTCATTTTTAACTCTGTTTTATAATAACTTGTTAAATGGTTAGTTCTCCATAAAATAAAAAACTGTCAGTTCCTTGTGTCGCTCTGAAACCGTAAAACTTTCAATCATACACTAAGATTCCCACAGGTCATAGAATTTCTGGAATATCATAGAATTTTAAAAGGTCTATTTTAAACATTTAAAGTCATGGAAAATTATGTTTTTATTTTGTCCAAGTCATGGAATTTCAGGGATTTTTGTTTGTCATTTGAATTTTTACATCCTATTTATCAAAAGGTTTTGTTTCCACACAGTGTTTTTTATCACATATTTTCATGATTTTTGCCTATTGTTATAATCAGGCTATTATTTCACTTATATATTATCCCTTTCCCACTTATTCCTATGTTATTCCTCAAATGCAGTCACTAGGCTGTACCTGTTAAAATACTGTCTGTGGCTGTTTTTTGACTTCTCAGTGTTCAGTCAGACCCTCCTGGATTATGCAGTAAAGATTTCTGATGATTGTGGAATAAAATGACAGATTTTGTTTCAATTTTTGATTTAGCACTTTTAAGCAAATATAATGCTATTTGATAAACTGTAAAACAATGCAGGTGACACAGAAGGAATTTAGACAAATGTTCAATCATTTTAACACCCTCATAACCTGGCCAAAATAAAGGGCACCTATGATGAAAATCATATTTTATAACAGTTTGGGCAGAGCTGTGTGTAAGTATAGTGTGTCCACTATCATATTCGGCTGATATAAAGACAGTAAGGCTCTTTTTTAAATTTATTGATGTTAAAATAGATCCAAATCCCTCCCATGTTGATTTGCTCAGCTCTCTGTGATAATCAATCATCATCAAAGGTGAGCCAGAATGAGTTTTACAAGTTTAAAACTTGAATGTTTGTAATGAATTGCAGCAATTTTACAGTCTTTACTTTAGCCGCATATCAGTACAATTATAAAAGAACGCTTCAATACCGGTTTGTCGACATTAAATCAGGTTTATTTTGTACATTAACATAACAGGTATCTATACAGCAGTGGATATAAACATGTATCCTGTCACAGTGCAAAGTTAAACACGCGCGCTGTGTGTGTGTCTGTGTGTGTGTGTGTGCGTGAACTTTGTAACGACATTGTGTGTCACTCATCAATGCAGAAAGGCTTGAATTAACTTGACAAAAAATACATCAAATAATCATTGGGAAAGTTCTTTATTGTAGTATTTCTCACAAACATTATGTGAGATCTGCTTCCTTCATGTCTGTCACTGTGTTGTCTATCTGACGCAGCCGGAGATTGAGGCACACTCTGACAGGGACGTGGGAATGGTGGGCGAAGAGAACTACCATTAAAAGCACGGGCCACAAAAACGGCTACATAGTGTTCAGAGCAGAAAATTCCAATATTCTGAAAGGTTGAATATATATTCTGATGCGTGTTTTGAGCTGAAACTTTACAGACATATTCTGGAGATACAAAAGAATTATCCTTAATCTTGAAAAAGGGTACAATAGGTGCTCTTTAAATGAATTTTGCACAATTTGCTAGATTTTTGCATTAATTTCAGTGATTGCAGAATTGTAGAGTTCTGGATGGACTGCTTGATACACCAGCTACCTGTTTCAATATTCATTATAGGTCATGGAAACGTTCGAGGTTACAGAAGTAACCCTTCGTTCCCCGAGGAGGGGAACGGAAGTGCCATGAATGGGAGGATTCGTATCAGAAGCCGCTTATCTGGAGAGTATTGAACGGGCCAATGAATGAAATTAATTGGCAGCGTAAGCTTGCGCAGGTGTGCGACATCTGCAATCATCTCAGCATATAAGCACACCTGAAGCCAGCAGACGCCATCCTTTTAAGCTGAAGAGACTTTCAAACAGCTAAGGGACAGTCATTATGGCGACGGAATATGGCACTTCCGTTCCCCTCCTCGGGGAACGAAGGGTTACTTCTGTAACCTCGAACGTTCCCCTTCGGTTGGGGAACTTCAGTGCCATGAATGGGAGAATATGGAAAGCGCCATAATGACTGCACCTTACCAACACCCCCGATGAGGAGATAGTCAAGCAAGCGTGACGCACCCACATCATGGGGGGCGCGGTCCTCCAACGTGTCCCTGGCCCTAATTTATCCTACTTCAACAGAAGTTTTACGGATTTAGATATATTTTTTGGGAAGTCGTGAGCATCTAGATAATTCTAGGAAATACGACAGTACGTTGGGAAGCGTGCAATCCCGATAGGGAGGACGCTGCGGAGGCCATCCGTTACCCAAGGGGGGGATAGATGGCAGAATTTACCTATGGACTAGCCCTAAAAAGGGGGAGTACGCATAGCAAAGAGTGGTTAGCAGAGAGGGAAGACACGGGTCCGCCCAGGGGGGGGACTTAACCGTGGCGGAATAAGCATATGGGATCGCCTAGTGGGGATCACGCATAGCAGGCACCTATACCCAAAACGCGGGCTGACCAGCGGGCAGACCTACAACGTAGTGGGCCAGCAAGTGACTCCTCCGCTGAGTCAGTGCTGGGGGCCACGGAGGAATCTGCAGGGCTCACCTGACGGGGAACTTTACTGACAGATAAAAAAGGCGCACGTACCTCCGTGTTAGGGAGAATGGCGCAGCAAGCGTGTTTCAACACCCTACCGAGTTGTCTCCTCAATCACCAAAGGGTTACCTAATACCCTTGAGGAAACCGGCTCCACTCGCAGATTGTAAAACCTTGCAAATGTGTTGGGTGTCGCCCAGCCCGCAGCTCTACAGATGTCTGTTAGAGAGGCGCCGCGTGCACGCGCCCAAGAGGATGCAACGCTCCGAGTGGAGTGTGCACGTACTCCCGGGGGACACGGCTGACCTCGACTCGAATAAGCGAGTGAAATGGCATCCACAATCCAGTGGGATAATCTTTGTTTCGATTCGGCACTTCCCTGCTGCCGACCGCCATAACAGACAAAGAGCTGCTCAGATGATCTAAAATTCTGAGTACGGTCCACATAAATGCGCAGAGCGCGAACTGGACAAAGTAAAGAAAGGGCTGGGTCTGCCTCCTCCGGGGGCAGCGCTTGCAGGTTCACTACCTGATCTCTAAAGGGGGTGGTAGGAACCTTGGGCACATAACCGGGGCGGGGTCTCAGGATAACGTGAGAGTAATCCGGCCCGAATTCCAGGCACGAGTCACTGACCGAAAATGCCTCCAGGTCCCCGACCCTCTTGATGGAGGCCAACGCAACCAGCAGAGCTGTCTTCAGGGACAGAAATCTTAGAGATACTGATTCGAGTGGCTCAAAGGGATCGGATCGCAGACTCGTGAGAACGAGGGCGAGATCCCAAGAGGGCATGAGAGGGGGGCGAGATGGATTAATTCGCCTAGCACCCCTAAGGAACTGGATGACCAGGTTATGCTTTCCCACGGTGCCGCCAGCTACCGCGTTATGATAAGCGGAGATGGCGGCCACGTAAACCTTGAGAGTGGAGGGCGACAGCCTGCTGTCCAACTTCTCTTGAAGGAAAGAGAGCACAACACTAATCTGGCAATTTCGGGGGTCTTCTCTGCGAGAGACGCACCATTCAGTGAATAGACTCCACTTCAGGGCGTAGGCGCGCCTCGTGGAGGGGGCTCTAGCCTGAGTGATGGTATTAACCACCGCAGTCGGTAGGTTACCTAAGTCTTCCTCGCGTCTAGGGACCACACGTGGAGGTTCCAAAGATCGGGGCGAGGGTGCCAGATGGTGCCCTGTCCCTGAGAGAGTAGGTCCTCTCTCAAAGGGATCCGCCAGGGGAGGGCCGTCGCGAGGAGTGAGAGCTCTGATATCCAGGTCCGGTTGGGCCAAAGGGGCGCAACTAGCAGAACCTGTTCCTCGTCCTCCCTGACCTTGCACAGAAACTGCGCGAGCAGGCTCACTGGGGGAAACGCATACTTGCGCATGCCCCGAGGCCAGCTGTGGGCCAGTGCATCCGTGCCGAGAGAGCCCTCGGTCAGGGAAAAAAACAACTGGCAGTGAGCGTTCTCGGGGGAAGCAAACAGATCGATCTGGGCCTCCCCGAATCGCGCCCATATCAGCTGAACAGACTCGGGGTGGAGTCTCCATTCTCCAGGGCGTAACAGCTGTCGTGAGAGCGCATCGGCTGCACGATTGAGCGTGCCTGGGACGTGAATGGCGCGCAGCGATTTCAGCCGCGGGTGACTCCAGAGGAGCAGACGGCGGGCGAGCTGAGACATGCGGCGAGAGCGCATACCCCCCATGCGGTTGATATACGCCGCCGCCGCCGTACTGTCCGTCCTGACCAGCACGTGTTGCCGCTCCAGCACCGGTAAAAAGCGGTGGAGAGCGAGGAACACTGCCAACAGCTCTAGGCGATTGATATGCCAATGCAGCTGGGCACCCTTCCAGAGGCCCGCAGCCGCATGCCCGCGACACACGGCCCTCCAACCCGTGTTGGAAGCGTCTGTTGAAACAACAACATGGCTGGACGCCTGTCCTAGAGGCACACCGGCCTGTAGGAACGAGGGGTCGTTCCAAGGGCTGAGGGCGCGGCGACACAGCGCAGTAACCGAGACCCGGTGTGTGCCCGCGTGCCATGCGCGTCTGGGGACCCGATCGTGAAGCCAGTGCTGAAGTGGTCTCATATGGAGCAACCCGAGCGGCGTGACGGCGGCTGCGGATGCCATATGCCCCAGGAGCCTCTGAAAGAACTTCAGTGGGACCACTAGTTTGCTGTCGAGCTCCCTCAGACAGTTCAGCAACAGGCGAGCGCGTTCCTCGGAGAGGTGCGCTACCATGGTGATCGAGTCCAGCTCCATCCCGAGAAAAGAAATCCTCTGCACGGGGGCGAGTTTGCTCTTTTCTCGGTTGACCTGAAGCCCCAGTAGGCGGAGATGCCGAAGCACCTCGTCCCTGTGCACAATCAATTGCTCCCGCGAGTGGGCTAAAATCAGCCAGTCGTCGAGATAACCGAGTATGCGAATGCCCGCGAGCCGAAAGGGCGCTAGGGCACCCTCCGCGAGTTTGGTGAAGACCCGCGGAGACAGAGAGAGCCCGAAGGGGAGGACCTTGTACTGCCACGCTCGACCCTCGAACGCAAACCGCAGAAATTGGCGGTGGCGTGGAAGAATGGAGACATGGAAATACGCGTCCTTCAGGTCTATGGCTGCAAACCAATCCCGAGGACGAACGCATTGGAGAATGCGCCTCTGCGTGAGCATTCTGAACGGCAGCTTGTGCAGACAGCGGTTCAAAACGCGCAGATCTAGGATTGGCCGTGACCCACCGCTCTTTTTGGGTACGATGAAGTATGGGCTGTAAAACCCACTCTCCATCTCGGCTGGAGGAACCGGCTCGATTGCACCCTTCGCCAGGAGGGCAGCAATCTCCTCTCGCAAGACAGGGGCGGACAGGGGGTTGACCCTGGAGAAATACACGCCCGTAAACTTGGGGGGCCGTTTCGCGAACTGAATCGCGTAACCGAGTCTGATTGTGCGTATGAGCCACCGCGAGGGGCTGGCCCGCGCTAACCAGGCAGGCAGAGCCCTCGCTAATGGAGTCATCGCTACAATCGCTGACGTACCAGCGGTGGGGCAGCGCGGAATGGGTGTGCTGATCCGGGAAGCACGAGGGTCCCGCGGAAAAGCTGGAGGAGAGCGATTCGCTCTGGCTCCGCACCCTGACTCCGGAGAGGGGGCTGGAGGGCTGAGGGAAGGGAGACCGTCCCCCCAGCGCTCGTGAGCCACTGGCGAAGCACGTAGAGTCTGCGAGCCGGAAGGCAGCGCGTCCCGGACTGGCAGAACTCGTGCAGTCACATCCGGGGAAGGGAAAAAGTGCTCTTTTACTGATGTTTTGGTGGCACTGAAAAGTACCGTTGTTATCGGGGCCCCGCCCTCCAGCGGGGAAAGAGCAAGTTTCCTCTTCTCCGGATGGCCTGTCTCAGGGACGCTTCGCGGTCTGTTTACCGGACTTAACGGCGCCCTGGGCAGGAGGGGCTGCCTGCTTTCGAGGTGAACGCCGCGCCCGCTTGGCCGGAGGCGCAGGCGGGGGCGGGGCAGCACTCGTTGGCGGGCGCCCTCGGCGAGGAACAGCGGAGGTGGATGGCTCGGCGGGCGGAGCGGGCTTACGGCCACGCCGATAGATGACATTGCCCATCGCATCCGACTGCTCTTTCACCGCCTTGAATTCCTGGGTGAATTCACCGACGGTGTCGCCGAACAGGCCAGCCTGGGATATGGGCGAGTCAAGAAAGCGAACTTTGTCAACGTCGCGCATATCGGCCAGGTTTAGCCAGAGGTGGCGTTCCTGAACCACAAGTGTGGACATCGTCCTCCCCAGCGCACACGCGGCGGACTTAGTAGTCCGAAGAGCATAGTCGGTCGCGGTGCGCAGCTCATGTAATAAGCTTGGGTTGGACCCGCCCTCGTGCAGCTCGGCCAGCGCCTGCGCTTGGTAGCGCTGGTAGGTGGCCATCGCGTGCAAAGCAGAAGCAGCCTGGCCCGCAGCCTTATAAGCTCTGGCTCCGAGGGAGGCAGACAACCTACAGGCTTTGGACGGGAGGCGGGGCAAACCCCGCCACGTAGAGGCGCCGCGCGGACAAAGATTGACCGCGATAGCGCGCTCCACTGACGGGATCGCCTCATACCCCCTGGCAGCTCCGCCGTCAAGGGCGGTGAGGGCGGAGGCACTCGTAGCACGGGCAGAGAAAGGTGCCCTCCAGGACTGCGTGAGCCTACTGTGCACTTCCGGGAAGAAGGGGACGAGAGGCTTCGAAGGCTTCGCCTTCTGGTCCTCTACGTAGCACCCATCTAGTCGGTCCGGCCGCGGAGCTGGGGGATAAACCATCTCCAACCCCACGGCCGAAGCAGCCCGGGAAAGCACGGCTAACATGTCCGCTTCAGGATCCGATTTGACAGCGCTCACCTGCCCGGAGGGGGCGAGCGGGTCCGGATCTTCGTCGGACAGTGAAAGCCCACCCTCCGATGCCGCGGAGGACATCTGATCTCCGGTGTCAGCGAGTGTGAGAGCTACCATCTGGTTAGACGGATCACTCTCACCACCCGAAGCTTGGATGGAGCGCCGTGAGGAGCGAGAGGTCCGCGAGCCCGTGGGCGGCGGATTAGCTCCCGCTGAAACCCTCAGATCTGCCCGAGCGCCCGCTGCTTTTTTAGAACAGGAGGCAACTGGGGTGGCTCGCTCTCTTGCGAAAGTTAGCCGCGATCTTAGCTGTGCAACGGTCATGGCATCGCAATGACGACATGAACCGCCCGCGAGCACCGCATTAACATGCTGGACCCCCAAACATGCAATGCAGTGATCGTGTCCATCATCCGGAGACAGGAAACCCCCGCATCCAGAAACGCACAGTCGGAGCGCCATCCTGAAAAGGACGTGCTGCACGACTGTGTTGCTCTTTTAGGAAAGTTGCAACTATACGCACCGCTCTGGAGGACCGGACCCAAAGAACCGCAGGCAAGGGAGTAACCCAGCTCGACCGTCTGCCACCGCGAAGACCCACTCTGGACCGGGAGACACACTCGTTCGCTCTGAAGTGCTGATCAGCAAGAGGAACCCTCATCGACTCACTCAGAAAGGATCTGAAGCGAAAAGGATGGCGTCTGCTGGCTTCAGGTGTGCTTATATGCTGAGATGATTGCAGATGTCGCACACCTGCGCAAGCTTACGCTGCCAATTAATTTCATTCATTGGCCCGTTCAATACTCTCCAGATAAGCGGCTTCTGATACGAATCCTCCCATTCATGGCACTGAAGTTCCCCAACCGAAGGGGAACATGAATATATTGTCATCCTTTTATCAAAGCTTTGAAGTGTCTGAGTTTTGGATGAAGAATAGACTTTCAGTGGAGAGACAGAAATCTCTCTCATTGCATTTTAATTGTATTCAAAATATCTTCATTAGTGTTCTGAAGATCAATACATTTTAATGAACTTTTTAACTTTTTTCATTATGCATGACTTATAAAACCACAATCTACACAAATGGTCTCTCAGCTGTTCTTTTCTCTAACAATATATTCTCAAAACAAGCTCTTTGCTCTTGTTCAACAGGTTCAGATTTTAAATAAGAAGGTTGACTTGAGCAAAGTGACCTCAAAATGTGGATCCAAGGACAACATAAAGCACAAGCCAGGTAGGGGTGGATCAGTTGTAATGCTGCCTTTTACTGCAAATTCAATCTCACTGTGAATATGCGCAGTAAATATGAATGATGATTGATCTCTCTTAGGTGGTGGTGATGTGAAGATTGAATCCCATAAGGTTAACGCCAAGGCCAAGACCAAAATGGGATCAATGGACAATGTAGGACATGAACCAGGAGACAACAATTCAAAGGTGCTAAAATAGATTAAGAGAACATTGCATATTAGCAATGCACACTATTTTATTTTTGATACTACATTTTCCTGTATGTGTTATAATATCTATAATAATTATTAGGCGGCGCAGTAGGTAGTGCTGTCGCCTCACAGCAAGAAGGTCGCTGGGTTGCTGGTTCAAGCCTCAGCTCAGTTAGCGTTTCTGTGTGGAGTTTGCATGTTCTCCCTGCGTTTGCGTGGGTTTCCTCCGGGTGCTCTGGTTTCCCCCACAGTCCAAAGACATGTGGTACAGGTGAATTGGGTAGGCTAAATTGTCCGTAGTGTATGAGTGTGTCTGTAAATAAGTGTGTGTGGATGTTTCCCAGAGATGGGTTAAGTTGGCGGTTCATTCCGCTGTGGCGACCCCGGATTAATAAAGGGACTAAGCCGACAAGAAAATGAAGAATGAATGAATGAATAATAATTATTAAAACCAAAGAAATTACAAACTGTTCATCATGCAATATCTACTAGCAAACACATTTAGGGACTTTTTGTCATGTTTGGGTCTCGGCATGGAAGACAAGAGTGGTAGGATCCAAGTGCAGCTTAATAATAATTTATTAAAGAAAGTATTTGTGCAGGTAATCATGGACAAAAATAGGAAAACTCAAGAATCAAATTCAATCCAATCAATCCAAAATCATAGTCAAAACAGTCATAAGGTCATAAACAATGCATTGATCCAAAAGTACAAACAAAACAAACAACAATTTTCGACTAAGCCAAAAACACAGTGACAGGAAATGTGTGTAGGTTGTATATACAGTTAAGTCCAGATAATCAATAAAAATGAGAGTCAGCTGTATATGTGTGATCAGTGTAGAATGGTGACCGGTGTGTGAAACGGCATGAGGGGATTTGTAGTTCATGAATGAGTTTGTAGCTCACCATCGATCTTCCAAGAAGTGATCGCTGGTGATCTTAACACTTTTATATTAAAAAAAGCTCTTGTGCATTTCTGCAAGTTAAGTTTGACTGAGCATTTTAACAAAGCAGGGTAAGGTAAAAACACACAGACCATATAACATATGCTAACTGAAAATCAAGCCTTACAAATAGTGATAAATATTCCTGCACCATATAGAAGTGCTTAGGTATTTTGTATTTTATTTTCATTCAGATTTTCTTTCTTTGCACTTGGTTATGAACACTACTAAGTTTTTGTTTGTTTGTTTGTTTTGTTTTTTGGGTGGAATTTATGATATTCATAATGTTTAGTTTCTAGTGGGCGAAAGTGTTTTATGAGAAAGCTACCTCAACCTGACACCTAAAACAAAAGCATCCAGATATGGCAAAGATATTGAAATGTATGTAGTATTTTTGAGAGGAAGCTTATTCTGATTCTGGATACAATTGAGAAGCCTTAGCTTTAATCATAGTTAGCATACATCCTTTATTAGCATAAGAGCCTTCTTTAAAAAAAAACTGATGAAAACTGACCATAATAACTATTGAAAATATTGCATCTTGCATATATGTTTAACATAAAAATAATAGAAAGTCAGTTTATGTCAGTTTTGTTAACTTTTAACATAGCAGTTAAGAATAAACACAATGTTAATGTATTGCATTTTGTTTGTTTTATATAATCCCCTTACACACATACACACACAAACAAATGTTTGTCTCTGGCACCCATTTCTTGAATTCTTGTTTATTGTCTCCAGGCTGAGGAGAATCAGCAGAAATCTGAAGGAAGTCCGTCTCCCCCTGCCAACTCTCTGCCTGTGCCGGCAGGTAATGGGGCAAAGGAGAATGGGCTGAAAGGTAGCACTCCTACTCCCGTACCTTCTTTTGGTGAAGGGCCCCGGGACTCCCAGGGCCTTGACAAGCGCATCCCCGGGACAAGTAAGTGCAAGCTTGGCACATTTAAACATGATTCTAAATTTTCCTTTTATAGGGGCACAACCCCCAGTTATGTTATGTTTAAATATTAAAATATATTTAGTAATAAATAAAATATATAATATGATATATACACTCGCTGGCCGCTTTTTTAGGTTCATCTTACTAGTACCAGGTTGGACACTCTTCTGCCTTCAGAACTGCCTTAATCCTTGGTGGCATATGTTCAACAAGGTACTGGAAATATTCCTATGGGATTTTGGTCCATATTAACATGATAGCATCACGCAGTTGCTGCAGACTTGTCGGCTGCACATCCATGATGCGAATCTCCTGTTTCACCACATCCCAAAAGTGCTCTATTAGATTGAGATCTGGTGACTGTGGAAGCCTTTTGAGTACGGTGAACTCATTGTCATGTTAAAGAAACCAGTCTGAGATGATTCGTGCTTAATGACATGGCGTGTTATCCTGCTGGAAGTAGCCATCAGAAGGTGGACACACTGTGGTCCTAAATGGATGGACATTGTCAGCAACAATACTCTGGTAGGCTGTGGCGTTGATACGATGCTCAATTAGTACTAATGAGCCCAAAGTGTGCCAAGAAAATATCCCCCACACCAATACACCACCACCACCAGCCTGAACCTTTGATGTAAGGCAGGATGAGTCATGTGATTTCATGTGATTAGAAATTTGCGTCAACGAGCAGTTGGACAGGTGTACCTAATCAAGTGAATGGTGAGTGTATATATCAGTATCAATATAAATTTTAGTATTTGATGAGGACCAGAGAACATGCTATATAATGCAGACTGAATATGTAGAGGAGCTGAAATTTGACGTTGTTTAGAGTTTTACAATGGTGGCCGAGAAAGCTCAAATTGAGAAAACACATTAAAATAGGAAAACAGTGACAAACTGAGAACACATCTTTATCAGTTTTAACAAACACTCAAGCAAGTTCTCACAAAACATGCAAATACAAAAATGTACTACAATTAGAGTAGATGTTTACAGAAATATGCCAGAGACTCCAGAAAGTTCTTACATGTTTATCATATTTGCACAAATTTTCAGATTAGGACTAAATATGAAAACAACATAAAACATCAACAATAAAAAAATAAATATGATTTCTGACAACACTAGGAAGCAATTTGGTTTGTCATTTTTAAGGTGTTTCTGCACTTGCACATATTGTCCACTGTAAAAAAATCTTGCTGGCTCATTTATTTTTAAGTAATCTCAACGTCAGTCAAACTGAGCTTTCTATAGACAAAATATTTAGCTGAAACATGATTAACTGATTAAAATGAGTTAAAGTAACATAAAAGCATTTATTTTTATGACTTTTTGTCATCATTTTTACAGTGTGAGAATTTGCTTGTGTCTGTAGTCAAATTGAAGAGTTCCCCTTCGGTTGGGGAACTTCAGTGCTATTAGGTGGATTTGATCTTTGTGAAAATCCACGGAATGGGAGGATTCAGTTCAGAAGCCGCTTGTCTGAAAGAGTATTGAACGGGCCAATGAATGCAATGAATTGGCAGCGTAAGCTTGCACAGGTGTGCTTCATTGCCAATTATCCCAGCATATAAGCACACCTGGAGCGAGCAAACGCCATCCTTTTCGCTTCAGAGACTTTCTGATCGAGTCGATGAGGGTTCCTCCTGCTGTGACCAGCGATTCTGAGCGAACGAGAGCATTCTCCCGGTCCAGAGTGTGTACACGCAGCGGCAGACGGTCGAGCTGGGTTTCTCCCTTGCCTGGCGTTCTTTGGGTCCGGTCCTCCAGAGCGGTGCGTATAAAGTTGCAAACTTCACAGAAAGAGCAACACAGTCGTGCAGCATGTCCTTTTCAGGACGGCGCTCCGACTGTGCATTTCTGGATGCGGTGGTTTCCTGTCCTCGGATGATGGGCATGGGCACTGCGTTACATGCCTGTTAATGCGCTGCTCGCTGGCAGTTCATGTCGTCATTGCGATGCCATGACTGTTACGCAGTAAAGATCGCGGCTAGCCTTTGCAAAAGGGCGAACCACCCCAGTTGTCCCCTGCTCTGCAGCGGGCACTCGGGCAGATGTGAGGGTTTCAGCGAGAGATAATCCGTCGCCCACGGGCCCGCGGACCTCCCGCTCCTCTAAGCGCTCCATCCAAGCTTCGGGCGGGGGAAGCGATCCGTCTAACAGATGGTAGCCCTTACCCCCGATGACACCGGAGACCAGACGTCCACCACGGCATCGGAGGGTCCGATGATGATCCAGACCCACTCACCCCCTCCGGGCTTTCCCGGGCTGCTTCGGCCGTGGGTTGGAGATGGTTTATCCCCCAGCTCCGCGGCCGGATCGACTAGAGGGGCGTTCCCTTCTTCCCGGAGGTGCACAGTAGGCTCACGCGGTCTTAAAGAGCACTTTTCTCTGCTCGTGCTGCGTGTCCCTCCACCCTCACCACTCTTGATGGTGGAACAGCCAGGGGGTATGTGGCGATTCCTCAGGTTGAGTGCGCGATGGCGATCAATCTGCGCGGCGCCTCTTCTTGGCGGGGTCCGTCTCGTCTCCCATCCAAAGCCTGTAAGTTATCTGCCTCCCTCGGAGCTAGAGCTTACATAGCTGCGGGCCAGGCTGCTTCCGCCTTGCATGCGATAGCCACCTACCAGCGCTACCAAGCGCAGGCGCTGGCCGAGCTGCACGAGGGTGGGTCCAACCCAGGCTTATGAGCTTCGCACCGCCGCCGACTTAGCTCTTCGGACTATTGAGTCCGCTGCGTGTGCGTTGGGGAGGACGATGTCCACATTAGTGATCCAGGAGCGCCACTCCTGGCTGATATGCGCGAAGTCGAAAAAGTCCGCTTTCTTGACTTCCCCATATCCCAAGCCATGTTCGGCGACACCGACTGTGAATTCACCCAGGAATTCAAGGCGGTGAGAGAGCAGTTGATAGGTGATGTCTTATCGGCGGTCCGTAGCCCGCTCAGCCCGCCGTGCCATTCATACCTGCTCCTCGCCGAAGGCACCCGCCTACGAGAGCTGCTCCGCCCCCGCACACGCCTCTGGCGAAGCGAGCGCGTCGGGCACCTCGGAAGCAGGCAGACCCCCCCTGCCCAGAACGCCGCTAAGTCCGGCAACGGACCGCGAAGCGTCCCTGGGACAGGCCATCTGTAGAAGAGGGAACTTGCTCTTTCCCCGCTGGAGGGCGGGGCCCCATTTCCAACGGCACTTTTTACTGCCATGAAAACATCATGAAAGAGCACTTTTCCAATCCCCGGATGTGACAGCCCGAAATCTGCCAGTCTGGGACGCTATGCTTTCAAGCTTGCAGATTCGGTGCGTTTCGCCAGTGGCTCACGAGCGCTGGGAGGACGGTCTCCTTTCTCCCACCCCTCGAGCCTCCCCTCCGGAGCTCGGGTGCAGAGTGAGAGCAAATATCTCACCTCCAGCTTTTCCGTGGAACCCGCGCGCTTCCCAGATCAGCACACCCACTCCGCGCTGCCCCACTGCTGGTACGTCAGCGATTGTAGCGATGAGTCCATTAGCGAGAGCTCTGCCTGCCTGGTTAGCGCGGGCCAGCTCTTTGCGGTGGCTCATACGCACAATCAGACTCGGCTATGCGATTCAGTTCGCGAAACGGCCCCAGTCACGGGTGTGTATTCACCAGGGTCAGCCCCCTGTCCGCCCTTGTCTTGCGAGAGGAGATTGCTGTCCTCCTGGCGAAGGATGCAATCGAGCCGCTTCCTCCAGCCGAGATGGAGAGCGGGTTTTACAGTCCACACTTCATCGTGCCCAAAAAGAGCGGTGGGTCACGGCCAATCCTAGATCTGCGCGCTTTCAACCGCTGTCTGCACAAACTGCCGTTCAGAATGCTCACGCAGAAGCGCATCCTCCGGTGCGTTCGTCCTCTGGGTTGGTCTGCAGCATTAGACCTGATGGACGCGTATTTCCATGTCTCCACTCTTCCTCGCCACCGTCAGTTTCTGCAGTTTGCGTTTGAAGGACGAGCTTGGCAATACAAAGCCCTCCCCTTCGGGCTCTCTCTGTCTCCGCGGGTCCTCACCAAGCCCGCGGAGGGTGCCTTAGCGCCCCTTCGGCTCGCGGGCATCTGCATATTCAGTTTTCTTGATGACTGGCTGATTTTTGCCCTCTCTCGGAGCAATTGATTATGCACAGAGACAAAGTGCTCCGGCACCTCCACCTGTTGGGGTTTCAGGTCAACCGAGAAAAGAGCAACTCGCCCCCGTGCAGAGGATCTCTTCTCTCGGGCTGGAGCTGGACTCGGTCACCATGGCAGCGCGCCTCTCCGGAGAGCACACTCAGCTGATGCTGTACTGTCTGAGAGAGCTCGACAGTAAAATAGTGGTCCCACTGAAACTATTTCAGTGGCTCCTGGGGCATATGGCATCCGCAGCCGCTTCATGCCGCTCGGATTACTCTATATGAGACCACTTCAGCACTGGCTTCACGATCGAGTCCCCAGACGCGCATGGCACCGAGTCTCTGTTACTGCACTGTGTCGCCGCGCCCTCAGCCCTTGGAGCGACCCCTCGTTCCTACAGGCCTGGGTGTCTCTAGGACAGGCGTCCAGTCTTGTTGTCATTTCAACAGACGCTTCCAACACGGGCTGGGTGGCTGTGCGTTGCGGGCATGCGGCTGCGGACCTGTGGAAAGGTACCCAGTTGCATTGGCATATCGCCTGGAGCTGTTGGCAGTGTTCCTCGCTCTCCACCGTTTTTTTTCGGTGCTGGAGCAGCAACACGTGCTGGTCAGGACGGACAGTACGGCGGCGGCGGCGTATATCAGCCGTATAGGGGGTATGCGCTCTCGCCGCATGTCTCAGCTCGCCCGCCGTCTGCTCCTCTGAAATCATCCGCGGCTGAAATCGCTGCACGCCATTCATATTCAGGCAAGCTCAACCATGCAGCCGATGCGCTCTCACGGCAGCCTTACGTCCTGGAGAATGGAGACTCCACCCCGAGTCTGTTCAGCTGATATGGGCGCGATTCGGGGAAGCCCAGATCGATCTGTTGCTTCCCCCGAGTTCGCTCATTGCCAGTTGTTCTTTCCCTGACTGAGTGCTCTCGGCACGGATGCACTGGCTCACAGCTGGCCTCGGGGCATGCGCAAATACTCGCTTCCCCCAGTGAGCCTGCTCGCGCAGTTACTGTGCAAGGTCAGGGAGGACGAGGAACAGGTTCCTGGTTGCGCCCCTCTGGCTCAACCGGACCTGGATGTCAGAGCTCTCCCTCGCGATAGCCCTCCCCTGGCAGTTCCCTTCGAGAGAGCACCTACTCTCTCAGGGACAGGGCACCAACTGGCAACCTCGCTGATCCTTGGAGGTCCTTAGAAGCGAGGAAGACTTAGGTAACCTCCGATTGCGGTAGCTATTACCGTCACTCGGGCTAGAGCCCCCTCCCTGAGCGCGCCTATGCCCTGAAGTGGAGTCTATTCACTAAATGGTGTGTCTCTCGCAGAGAAGACACCCGTAATTTGCCAGATCAGCGTTGTGCTTTCTTTACGCCGAGAGAAGCTGGAGAGCAGGCTGTCGCCCTCCACACTCAAGGTTACGTGGCTGCCATCTCCGCTCTCATGACGCGGTGGCTGGCAGCACCGTGGGAACGTATAACCCTTATCATCCGGTTCCTCAGGGGCGCTAAGCGAATAAATCCACCCCGCCCCCTCTCATGCCCTCTTAGGATCTCGCCCTCGCTACACAAGCGGCGTCAGATCCCTTCGATCCTCGACTCAGTATCTTTCTGTCCCTGAAGACAGCTCTGCTGGTCGCGTTGATATCGATTAGAGGGTCGGGGACCCGGAGGCATTTTTCGGTCAGTGACTCGTGCCTGTAATTGGGCTGGCTTTCTCTCACGTCCTGAGACCCCGCCCGCGATATGTGCCCAAGGTTCCTACCACTCCGTTTTAATACTAGGTAGTGAGCCTGCAAGCGCTGCCCTCGGAGGAGGCAGACCCAGCCCTTCCTTATTGTCCAGTTCGCGTCTTGCGTATTATCCGGACCGCACTTAGAGTTTAGATCATCTGAGCAGCTCTTCGTCTGTTATGGCGCTCGGCAGCAGGGAAGTGCCGTACCGAAATAAGTTTTCCCACTGGATTGTGGATGCCATTCTCTCGCTTATCAGAGCTGAGGTGAGCCGCGTCCCCCGAGAGTGCGTGCGCACTCCACTCGGAGCTTCGCATCCTCTCGAGCGTGCGCACGCGGCGCCTCTCTAACAGACATCTGTAGAGCTGCGAGCTGGTTGACACCCAACACATTTGCAAGGTTTTACAATCTGCGAGTGGAACCGGTTTCCTCAAGGGTATTAGGTAACCCTTGGTGATTGAGGAAACAATTCAGTAGGGTGTTGAAACACGCTTGCTGCGCCATTCTCCCTAACACGGAGGTACGTGCGCCTTTTTATCTGTCAGTAAAGTTCCCCGTCAGGTGAGCCCTGCAGATTCCTCCGTGGCCCCCAGCACTGACTTCGCGGAGGAGTCACTTGCTGGCCCACTACATTGTAGGTCTGCCCGCTGGTCAGCCCGCGTTTTGGGTATAGGTGCCTGCTATGCGTGATCCCCACTAGGCGATTCCATATGCTTATTCCGCCACGGTTAAGTCCCCCCCCTGGGCGGACCCGCGTCTTCCCTCTCTGATAACCACTCTTTTGCTATGCGTACTCCCCCTTTTAGGGCTAGTCCATATGTAAATTCTGCCATCTATCCCCCCTTGGGTAACGGATGGCCTCCGCAGCGTCCTCCCTATCGGGATTGCACGCTTCCCAATGTACTGTCGTATTTTCCTAGAATTATCTAGATGCTCACGACTTCCCAAAAAATATATCTAAATCCGTAAGACTTCTGTTGAAGTAGGATAAATTAGGGCCAAGGACACGTTGGAGGACCGCGCCTCCCATGATGTGGGTGCGTCACGCTTGCTTGACTATCCCCTCATCGGGGGCGTTGGTAAGGTGCAGTCATTATGGCGCTTTCCATAGTTCTCCCATTTCGTGGATTTTCACAAAGATCAAATCAACTTAATAGCACTGAAGTTCCCCAACCGAAGGGGAACGTTCGAGGTTACAGAAGTAACCCTTCGTTCCCCGAGAAGGGGAACGGAAGTACTATACTCCGTCGCCATAATGACTGTCCATTAGCGGTTTGAAAGTCTCTTCAGCTTTAAAGGATGGCGTTTGCTCGCTTCAGGTGTGCTTATATGCTGGGATAATTGGCAATGAAGCACACCTGTGCAAGCTTACGCTGCCAATTCATTGCATTCATTGGCCCGTTCAATACTCTTTCAGACAATTGGCTTCTAAACCAAATCCACTTAATAGCACTGAAGTTCCCCTCCTCGAGAACGAAGGGTTACATCTGTAACCTCGAACGTTACATTGTTACTGTTTTTCCATAAGCATGTTTTCCTCAATTCCAATGCATTTCAGCTTTCCAAGCCACTGTATTTTACAGATTATATAACTAAACACAAATATTTTAGGACTCTGACTTGGCCTTTTTGCAGTGTGTTGTTTACAAATTGTCAGTGACAGCATTTGAGCCTTTGTTTCTTAGAATGCACCACTGTCTAAGAAATTTAGCTTGTTACCTTGTTTTATGAATGCAATTTTTATCATTTCTTTCCTGCCAGATTGAGTCCCACAAGCTGAACTTCCGCGAGAATGCACGAGCTCGCACGGACCACGGCGCTAAAATCATCTCCTGGTCCCCCCTGAGTGACAGCCACCCCCACCCACATCGCAGCACCTCTCTCAGTGTTTCTCTGGGGTCCGCCATGTCCTCACACTCCACCCAGCTTGTCCCATTCACTCGGCCATGAGATGGGTGCAAACCAGTGCACTAGCAGGAGAAGGACTCTTATTTTAACACAGCCTGTCCCTTTAAAACCCATTAGCATCTCTTCTTGTTTACATTTTTGTTTTATTTCCTTTTCTGGGAGATGATGTTTTGAAAAAGCATAGTTTCAGCGCACATGTTCGACGCAGAGTTGTGGTATGAGTCTAGATTTGAGATGAATTCTCCAGATGGTTGTCCAGCCACATAGCCATCTATCCTAAAACTACAATATTTAGTCCAACAACACAAGAGTTAATTTCTAGACTCCCTACAATCCCAAAAATAGACCTACATTTTAGAGGCTACACCCATCGGTTTGGCAGTAGACATTCTCCAATGGGAACCCCAGAACTCACTTGAGATGTAGCTTATTACATCATATTATGGCAGTAATGCTCCCTGTATTGTTAGTATGTGGGGCTGTCTTAAATCCCAGTCAAAAAGGGACGAACCAGCCACCATCTATTCATCTGCTCCCTTTGCTCCACTGGTCCTGTCCACATCACATGAATTATAAACCCTGTCCTTTCCCCCAGTATTTAAATGAGCACTTAATTATTTGAAACCTATAGGCTGTTCAAGCAAAAACATATTTACATCTTCAATGAGTTTGCTGTTTCGTGTTTGCGTGAATTACTGTAACAATGAGCTGTATCATTATGATGTCTAACCATCTGATTACATCATCCACTTTCCAGCATCTTGTGAACTAATAGGACACAAAAACACATTACATACATTATACAGCATGATACAAGAGGAGGAAAAGGCAGTGGCACGCAAACTAAACAGACAGGATGGACAGGAATGAAGAAAGATGTCCGAAAGTTAGAATGGAAATGCGTTCACACTCCGTACACAGGTCATGTTTATTTGCTCAAAGGTTCGAACATCCCTCATTTTGAATTGAGTATTGTATGTCAAGTGTCAATGGACCCTTTTCACATTTCTGGGTTTCTCAGTAGCGGAAAGCAGCATGGTTGGGTAAACTTAGAGTGCAGTGAATGGAAAAGTACAACAAATAATTTTTTACAATCCTATTTGCTGAAGTAATAAACGAAAAACTCCACAATGGTGTTATCAAGACTTTCAGAAAAAGGAAATAAATAGTGTGAGACTAATAACCACAGACAGAGGAGAACATAATGTCAAATTTACTCTCAGCCCCTGTCACGATCGGGTAAGAATCAAGTCAAAAAGGAACCAAATGCAAGTGAGAGTTTATTAATATAATATAGAGTGCAACGAGTAAGTCAACAGAGTGTGATAGCAGCATGGATGAAAGTCTTAGACACAGGAATCACAACAGGAACATCTTTCTGGCATCCTTTCTAAAAAGCCGTTTGGAAACTCCAAGTGGACACATGGTACCCGAATTATCAAATTAGGCATGGGACGATTACCTTTTTCAAGTTATACAGCGGTTTGAAAAAGTCAAGGTTTTAAAACCACCAAAATGTTCTGCTTTACTGTTCCTAATGTATGTATAAGATTTTTTTATTTATATATATTTGTTTAAGTTTTTTAGGACATCAGTATCTCCAGGAGAAAATATATCCAAAGTTGCCGTTTTAAATTGCATAAAATCTGTGTTTACTACTAACGAAGACAGCAGAAGTCAATAATTCATTTGAATTATTTAGCCTGACATGTTTACTGTTTTATAAATGCTTCTAAAAATAAATTAAATTGTGTTCAAAGAGGGAAAAAAGTATGTTTTTTACCCAGACATTTAAAAATACATATTTTAGAGCAGTAATCACAATACCATCAAACCATATTTTTATCCAAGGTTATCATACAGTCAAAATCTCATACTGGCCCATGCCTTGACTAAAATAGTCAAAATTACATGACACATAAACGCATATCTATTCAAAATATTAAAAAACTTTCAAGGATTTAATATTTTGATGATAGTTAAACGCGTCATAACAGACTTGTGAAAAGGGTCCATTAATGGAAGGCTTTTGCACTAAACATGAACCAACATGTGCAAAGGCTCATCACATGAACAGTAAATATATCCAAAATAAGTATTGCAATACAATCCGTATCCCTGTATTTATTTCGTGGCAATTATTAAGCTGTTCTATAGAAGTTACTGTTTTTAATCAAACATAGTAGGATATGCTATTTGGTTTCATTACGAAGTGATGTATTATTCACAAGGTTGTTGAATATCATAGTTTTAATCTCTCTGAACCTACTATTGTTGGGCTGCTTTTTGAAACTGTTAACTAGTGACACTGTTTATCAGTGAATTTGTGGGCACTTTATTGGTAGTAGATATACCTTTAGCTGCACAATGCCTGCAGGAAAAAAAAGTAAACAGTTTGCTGTTGTTGGTTAAAAGCTTATGTTTGTATACAGGGTTTGATTCACTTCTTGTTGTGAAATATTGACTTTTTCCTGGTAAATTACTGTGACGTCATGGTAGATTATTGATGGTGGTAATGTCGTGGCATCAAAAATCCCATATCAAACTGAACAAACCAGGAGGTATTAAATTATGCAAGTATCCTATGAAATAATTAGCTCATGAGCATTCAGAATGCACTTTATGATGGATGTTTTATACTACAAATCGAGTTATATATGACTGGTTGAGCGCCTTTCCCAAAATTCTGTCCCCTGACAAAGAGCCCCAGTTACACAGAAATGCAAAACTTGTATCTCATAGAGCAGTCTGTAAATACAGTACGAGTGTGAGCAGTGTGTTTCATGTAGAGCAGCTGTGCTTGGCTAAACGGTCCTGTCTGTAGTTCCTTTTGTGATTAGCGTGTGCTGTTCAGGGGCTGTGCTAGTAAACCTCAGTGTTGTACTCTTGATACAGTGATCATAACCTTTCATGCCTTCAGACAGCTTTTTTTGTCATTTCCATAATAAATGAAAACTCACAGTGTTAGTACATTCACACGTTCCCCCGCATCGGTCCATTTAAAGCAGTTTTGTAAATACACGTTTCACACTTTATACCCTGCCGGGGAAGAAAAAAAAAAAACACTTCTTGATTGGGTTGTATAGAGAAGCAAAGTGAAGATTTTTGCGTCTATGAATATTTCTCCAGACAGTATTTTATTCTTAAGTGAGTCTGCCTTTTTTTGAAGTAAAAAAAGGGCTGGCAAACAAGAATGTTTTTAAAATGTAATGTATTCAGGAAGCGAAGAATATATATTATGTGTCTAACTTTTTCTCTTTGTCATCACAGGTCACTTACTAAATACATTGTAATCAATAACAGGAGGAGTGTGATTGATTTTTGACTGTGGACGAAAAAAAAGAGGACTCTTGAGGATGTCCTTTTGTCTGCATAAGGCACAGCATTCTGGTAATGACTTGAGTAGCCTGAGACAGGACGCAGAAAGTGGGTTGAGAGGTTATAAGTAGTCAAGCAACAACCACAGGAACAGCGATTCCTCCCACAAACTGCACCTGACACATAGACCTTGAATGTTGTTGTTTGGATATCCATGCCGCACGTCTGTATGAGACTAACTGTAACTGGTAGGCTAATTGGCATGTTTAAAAGTAGATAGAGCACTCCGATTAGGCAGCAAAAGAGCCCCCTAGTGTGTCTGGTAGGACTCACAGTGTGTCTACTTCCTATAGACCACGACAAAAGCGCATGCTGACAACAATGGACGACTGACGCCGGTCCTAAATTGGAATTAATGTCTCCCCTCTTATTTAAGATGTATTTTTTGGTATGAAAGAGATCATTGTGATTAATTGTTAACTAGTGATGTGGATATTTAATCATGAATAAATAAATAAATAAAAAACAAGCTAAATCAGGTGTGTTTTTAAGTGATTCATGTTTATTTCTGTAGCGCTTTTACAATGTAGATTGTGTCAAAGCAGCTTAACATAGAAGTTCTAGTAAATTAAATCTGTATCAGTCCAGTTTTCAAAGTTGAAGTTCAATTTTGTTCAGTTCAGTTTGGTTTAATTTTCACTGCTGAAAATCTAAACACTGAAGAGCTAATCCATCGATGTGCGATGGAAATCCTTTATTTTTATGGTGCTTTTACAATGTAGATTTTGCCAAAGCAGCTTCACATAAAAGATCATAGTAAATTGAACCAGTGTAGTTCAGTTTTCAGAGTTTAAGTTCAGTTCAGTTTAGCTCAGTTCAGTGTGGTTAAATAATCACTACTGAGAGTCCAAAAAGTGAAGAGAAATCCATCGATGCTCCGCTCTACAGATCCTGAACCATGCAAGCTAGTGGCGACAGCGGTGGGAAAAAAACTTAACCAATTGATGAAAGTGAAGGAAAAAACCTTCAGAGAAACCAGGCTCAGTTGGGCACAACCATTTCTCCTCTGGCCAAACTACAGTCAAGGCACCGGAGGCTGGAGAACGCTGAATGTCAGCGAGACACAGAAATCAGTCTCATGCTCTCCACTCCTCCATGACCACCACAGAAGCTTCTCAGGATACGGCCTGGTCCAGGATTATGAAAACCTTGGGATCATCTTGTTGCAGATCTTGGATTGCATCAGTGGTGCTATATAGTCTCCGGGGGCCTTGGGATGAGTATCCCCAGGTGGAAATAGAGAATAAAGAGAAAGATTTGCGTAGCTGCAGTTCATAGTGTATATAAATGAGATGTAAAAACTTGCGTAGAGCACATTCATGCATCATACTGTAATGTGATGCATTGAGTGTGTGCTTTGCTAAAAAGCTAGGTCTTTAATCTAGTTTTGAACTGCGAGAGTGTGTCTAGGCCTCGGACATAATCAGGAGGGCTATACCAGAGTTTAAGAGTCATAAATGAGAAGGCTTGGCCTCCTTTACTTGACTTTGCTGTTTTAGGGACTACCAGAAGCCCTGAGTTTTGAGATCTTAAAGTGCGGGTTGGATTGTAGCAAGACAGAAGGTTGGAAAGATAAACAGGAGCTAGATTATTTTACAGCTAGACAACTTCATAGGTAAGAAACAATATTTTAAATTCAATACGAAATTTAACAGGCAGCCAGTGTAGGTAGGATAAAACTGGGGTGATCTGATCATATTTTCTAGATCTGGTAAGAACTCAGCAGAGTATTACAGTAGTAAAACAGAGCATTACAGTAATCCAGCTTAGAAGTCATAAAAGTATGGACTAGCTTTTCTGCATCTGAGATGGATAGCATACTTCGTAAATTTGTGATATTTCGCAGTAGAAAGAAAACGGTTTTTGTGACATGGGAAATATGATTTTCAAATTTAAATTGCTGTCTTATATGACACCCAGATCTTTTATAGTAGAGCTAACGCTAACTTTGTATCCCTCTAATTGCAGGTCGAGTTGTGAGATCTGCTGTGTACAGGATTTAGGCCCAATAAGTAATAATTCTGTTTTTTCTTAAGAGAAGGAAATTGTTGGCCATCCAGTCTTTAACATCTTTAATACACTCAGTTAGCTTAGACAGTTCATACACTCTATACATCTACACACATATCAGGGTCTGGGATAGAACTTGGTTCTCTGGAAAGCTGAGTCACATAACCACTGAGCTACTGGGAGCTGATGAACCCATACAATGATGATACACTCTATACACATACACACACTACACAATCTATACATATACACACATTAAACACTCCATATGCACATAAATATACACGATATACATACACACACACACAATACATTATACATATGAACAGATGATACACTTCATACATATACACATGATACATATGCACATGTGATACACTCTATACATACACACACATGACACACTCTATATACATACAGTATGCACATATGACACACTCTATACATATGCACACATGATACACTCTATACATATACACTCCATACATACACGCGATACATATGCACATATGATACCCTCTATACATATAGACACACGACACACTCTATCAGTGGTGGAAAGAGGACTGAAAATCATGCTTATGTAAAATTACTTGCTTAAAAATGTAGTGCAAATAAAAAGTAAAAGTCTCTGTTGTAAATATTACTCAAAGTATAACTAAAATGTAGCCCTTTCAAAAGTACTCATGAGTAATGAGTATTACACTATAAAAAGCTAATCACCAATAAAAAAAAATCTAATAACGATGATACATATAAAACACGTATATAACACATAACATTTATAATGCTTCCTAGTTTCTGACATTATTTTTGGCCGTTATAGTCCAGAAACTCTAATAGCGGACGGCTGCTTCTCACTAAGGGCTGGCTGTGGTTGTTTCCAAACAATAGGCCCCCTTTAATAATAATTGTTGGCTTAATGCAGGTTTTATTGTTATACGATTAGATGGCAACAAGAGATTCTTTCGCAGGGACTTGTATTGAATAGAATAAAATAAGATTGTAAACAAAAACATACATATATGGGACGTATGTGTTTTCACATGTAAATCTCTTGCGCTTCATTTGCGTTTGTTTATTGCACAAGTTGCAAAACACCGCTCATGTAATGTAATGCATGTGAGGGCACAGGTGAGACATCATTTTTCAAATAAACCACACATGCTGTGTATGTGACGTTTAAAGGTCATGTAAAACAATTCATTACAAACTGAAATGAGCATATTTTGATTATATGGTTTTGAATTTGATGTTTTTTGCGATTATTTTATGTTTAATTAGGAATTTTGCAAGATAGCAACTAGGGGGTCTGATATGTTTCTGACATATATGTATTTTATAATCTATCATTAGGTTGATGTCTTGTGCCTGCTGGGTGTTTAAACCATTTCGGTCATTAAACAGTGAACATGTCTTCTTCTCATCAGTGACATATATCTAAACAGTCTAAAGATTTGCGTGTAAAGATTTTAGACATCTTCTTTGACACTTTTGATGCTCCCAAACAGTTTGCTGCAATTATAAATGGCCCATGCCTTGATGTAATTCATTATGAGGCGATTTACCTTCTATGTTTGATTTGATTGGACAGGAATCACAGGATAGATTTTTATAATCTCCATAGACAAGAAAAAAAATAAGGTAGTGACTGCAGGTTGAAGGAAAGTAGTGGAGTAAAAGTACAGATACTGCACTAGAAAATGTACTCAAGGGAAAGTAAAAGTACACATTTTTAAAACTACTCAGTAAATTACAATTTCTGAGAAAAACTACTCAATTATAGTAATCTGAGTACTTGTATTTAGTTACTTTACACCACTGGTATTAGCACATGTGCGGCTGAGTTTTGAACATACTGTGAAATCTTAAGTGAATTGGCTGGCAGACCCCTAAATAAAGTTACAAAAAACTAAACGAGATGTAATAAAAGCATGGACAAGCCTTTCAGCATCTGGTGTTGAGAGAAAAGGATGGATACGAGCAATGTTCCGTAAGTGATAAAATGCGGTTTTTGTCAACTGTTTAAAATGAGGTTTCAGGCTAAGCTGAGCATCAAAAAGATTTTACACCTGCATAGAAGAAGTTAAAAGAGAATCATCAACTGTTAACTTGAGATTACCACATCTATTAACAGTAGAAGGTGTGCCAATGAGTAAAATCTCAGTCTTGGAGTTATTTAATTTGCAATGGTTTTGTCACATCCAGTCTTTAATCTCTACCAAGCAGGCATTAAGTGTCAATAATGAGGTAGATAGAATATGAGATGTATATATTATAGTCCGTGACCTATGACCCCCAAATAAATGAGCTGTGAACATTCAGTGAGGAAGGATCAGTCAGTTAAAAGACCTATTTCTGTATATAAAAATAAGACGTTATGATCAATCAAAAATAAACTGCCTTGATTTAAGAAACACAGCAAATTGACTTAACATTGGCATCAAAACATTTTCTATGTGTATTCTGATGCCAGTGTTAGATGTCAATTTGATGTTGCTTTTGACATCAAGTGGGTAACAGACAACATCATGTGTTAGAACAGAATTACATGACTTAATGTCATGATAGATTTGTAAGTATACTTGTTTCCTTCACAAAGTAGAATTCATTTGCAATTTCAGTGCATCACTCAGTCACAACACAGATTTAATGCAATTCAACTTTATTCTACTAAGTGACCGAAGAAATGCAAGATAGGCTGAAAACAAAACTAATTCAGCATAACGGAGACACAGAAAATCCACTTGAGCTTTACTCTTGATCATGTCCCTTCTGTAAAAAAAAGAAAAGAGGTAGAGAATATCAGTGATGGTACATTATTCAGCTGCAACAGTACAACAGTATCTGACAAAATTGTTGTCGCCTATCCAATACTTTGAAACAGCAAATAATAACTTGACCTAGTTGAACATTTGGTATCAGAAGTGGCTTATATGAATGGTAAAGGCCTCAAGATTACGCTTATTTTACCAAAATAAAATATGATCCTGCCTTGATTTATAATTATTTAATTAGGACAGTGAGGTCTGACTTTGCTGAAATAAAAGTCTTATCACATAACAGAAATAATGTATAGGAGACAGAGTATATAATATAAAAGTCATGATGCAGTGTAAAAAATAATTAATATTGTGTATGACTCTAATGAGCTTGGATGACTGCATCAATAAATCTCTGTAATGACTCAATTAAATTGTTAATAAAGTCATCTGGAATGACAAAACAATCTTGCAGGACTCCCAGAGTTTATCTTTAGTGCCTTCTCCATCATCTTACCCCAGACGTGCTCAATAATGTTCATGTGTGGTGACTGGGATGGACAATCCTGGAGCACCTTGACCTTCATTGCGTTCAGGAACTTTGATGTGGAGGCTGAAGTATGAGACAGAGTACTATCCAGCTGAAGAAAGTGCCATCCACTCTGTAGATCTCATCCATACTGAATGTACTGTAACCCTAAACTATGATTTTTCCTTTACCAAACTTGACTGATTTCTGTGAGAATCTTGGGTCCATGCAGGTTCTACTAAATCTTCTGCAGTATGTGTGATGATTGGAATGCAGTTCAACAGATGACTGATTTGAAAAATCTACCTTCTGCCACTTTTCCTAGAATTCAAGTTATTATTTGTTGCTTTTAAAACTGGGATCAACTACGAGAATTTTATCTGGTAGTGTATGTATCTATAATGTAGATTTTATTTAGTTGAGAACCTTGTGTTATTGTACTTGTAAATGAGAGGTGTTAAATCTTGATTGGAGCATGACAGCTATAAGTGTAACTGACCTTAGAACTGACATCACGACTTTTGGCACGTAGCTTATTGACTTGTGACTCTGCAATGTCAGCTCTTTCTTCTGCCTCATCAAGCTCATGCTGGATTTTCCGGAACTTGCTAAGATTAGTGTTGGCTTGTTCCTCCTGTAAAGCAGGATTAGCAGTTCTGAGACTGTAGAGTACAATTTATTAGCAAAAATGTGTGATATTTTGGCCAATACTTACAGCTTCCTCTGCAGCCCTCTTGTAAGCTTTAACCTTTAGCTGAAGCTTGTCAACCAGATCTTGCAGACGAGCCAGATTCTTGCGGTCCTCCTCAGTCTTCAAAAGAAAATATAGAAAACGCAGATGAGAATTTCATGTGGGAAAGTGTCGAGTCGTTACACTTTCAATATGTAGGTAACATAATAAAATAATGGTCCATTAGTTAATGTGAGTTAATGTATTTAATAATATGAACAAAAAATGATTAACACGTCTATTATGGTATTTATTTATCTTTGTTAACATTATTTAAATTAAATAATGTTAGTTCCTGTTAGTTCTTTAGTTAGTAATTTGTACTTTGTAATAACAACTCAATGTGTGTTTTGATTTTTGCCTTACCTGATACGTCAGTTCTTTTATACGTCTCTCATATTTGCGGATTCCTTTCACCGCCTCACTGCTCTTCTTCTGTTCTGATTCAACTTCACTCTCCAGCTCCCTCACCTGTTGGCAGAGCATGCATTTTTCCACCTTCAGTGATTAGAATAGTTTTTGGTTTTGTTTTTTACAATTGATGTTAATTCACTCACCCTGGCCTCCAGTTTCTGGACTTGTTTCTTGCCTCCCTTCATAGCGATTTGTTCTGCTTCATCCAGGCGATGCTGCAGGTCTTTAATGGTCTGCTCCATGTTCTTCTTCATCCTCTCCAGGTGAGCACTTGTATCCTGCTCCTTCTTCAGCTCCTCCGCCATCATGGCAGCATCAGTGATGGCCTTCTTGGCTTTTTCCTCAGCATTCCTGCATTCTTGCACTGCCTCTTCCACTTCTGTCTGAAGCTGGGATATATCCGTCTCCAGCTTCTTCTTCTGATTTAACAGGCTTGTGTTCTGGCCGAAGATTCATTGGGATTAATTTGGAAAAACGTTTTGTGTAATTGATCTGTTCAAAATAAAGAGTAACTAAACATTTAGCATACCTGGGAGTGCAGCAGCTGTACTCTTTCACTGGTATCCAGAAGCTCCTGCTCAGCAAGCTTACGGCCTCTTTCGGTTTGCTCAAGAGCTGCTCTGAGTTCCTCTAGTTCAGCCTGCAGAAGGTTGTTGCGTCTCTCTACAATGGCTGTGTTCTCCTTAAGATCTTCATTTGTTCTCAGGGAGTCGTCCAGCTGAAGCTGAGCATCCTAAATAGTTGAGGGGAAGAAAATCATTTAAACAACCCTCCAGAAATCTTTGCAGTATTAGTCCAGTGTTTGTCTTACTTTCATATGTGCATGCACACTCTTAAGTTGTTTTTGGGCCTCTGCTGCTTGTCGGTTTGCCTGACTAAGCTGGATCTCCATCTCATTCAGGTCGCCCTCCATCTTCTTTTTTATTCTGAGGGCCTCATTTCTGCTTCTGGTTTCTGACTCCAAGGAGCTTTGCAGAGTGTCAATGGTCCTCTGCAAATTGCGTTTGCTCTGCTCCATCTCTTCATCCTTCTCGGCTAGTTTGCGCTCGATATCAGCCTTAATTTGGCTGAACTCCAGCTGGGCTCGCAGAATCTTACCCTCCTCGTGCTCCAGTGATGCCTTTCAAGCAGAAGAATGTGATCTATGGCTTTGCAATACATTATTCTGTTTTAACAACAACAACGATAATAGCTGCATCCCAAATGGCACACTATACACTATGCACTTATGCACTATGTACTTATGCACTTACACACTCAACAGTATAGTATATGTATGTAGTGTCTTCCCAAATGGCACACTAATGTTCTTTTACTAAGCAGATATTCAAACTGTTTCCCTGACGACGTTTGACGGTTGCCAAATCAGTGAAATAAACAACTGAATTATCAAATAATACCTGCCGTGAGTATAACCGCATTCACCATCGGGAGGCGATATAATCACTCTCGTAGGAGAATTTTACTTTCACAATCCAAAATAAATAAAGTTATCCAACATGTGCGTCCGATAGCTCCGCCCCTTCCGCTACGTAAGCAAACCTGCGGTCGTTGAGTGCGTGAAGTGTCCATCATTACACACTTCATTTTGGCAGCTGAATGAGTGCATCATGCACTTATCATTTTTAGAGTTTTCAGTGTGAACACAATACTTACACTATTTATACTACAAAATGGCGTAGAATAGTGCATAAGTATGCGATTTAAGACGCAGCTCATGTAATTCAGGGGTCACCAGCCCTGTTCCCGGAAAGCTATCTTCCTGAGGTTTCAGCTGCAACCCTGATTAAACACACCTGTCTGTAATTATCAAGTGCTGCTTCAGGTCATAATTAATTGGTTCAGGTGTGTTTGATCAGGTTTGGAGCTGAATTCTGCAGGAAGGTAGTTCTCCAGGAAAAGGGTTGGTAACCGCTAATGTAACTTAATAATACATTATGCACATACGGTACTTGCTTGGAATTCTGACTGTTTTTATATTGTTTTATTGTGCTTTTCTACAAAGTCAAGGAATTAAGCTGCATCTGAAAACTTACCTCTGCCTCTTCCAGAGCAGATTGAATCTCACTTTTTTCTTGCTCCAACTGTTTCCTCATTTTCTCCAGCTCATGGATGCTCTTTCCTCCCTCACCAAGTTGCTCGGTGAGATCAGAAATCTCCTCTGAAAAGAACATCGCATTTAACACACTGATTTTTTTTTCTCCAATCCTAAAATTTAAAATGAATGTCTGTACTGCACTATAAGCTTCCTCCACCCCATCATTGTAAACACAGTATAAAGTCTTCTGCTGTCTGCCTCATGTATCTATTTTAGTTGATTTAGAAAAACACAGTGTTTTTGTGTTGGTAATCTTTTTATTCACCTTGGAGATTTTTATTTTCTCTCTTCATGGTCTCCAGGTGATCTAAAGCTTCCTCATAGGAGTTCTTCAGCTTGAAAAGTTCAGTGCTAAGACATCTTGCTTCTTTCTGAGAGCTCTCTAACTCGGCTTGCGACTCTTCAAACTTCTGCTTCCACTCAGACAGTACCTGTGTTTTTTATGTAAGCAAATTTTAGTATTAGAGGTATTTAGAAACTACGGTTATGGCTAATATAGGAACTATGTTTGATTACCTTATCAAAGTTTCTTTGCTTTTTGTCTAAGGCTGCAGCAGCCGCATTAGACCTCTCCAGGTCCACCATAAGATCTTCAATCTCATTTTGGAGTCTGTGTTTGGTCTTTTCAAGAGATGAACACTTTGCATTTACTGCTTCAACAGCTTCTTCGGTTTCCTGTAAGCGTTGAGCCAGTTTCTTTCTGTTATAGAAAATTAAAGAAGATTTTTGGGGAAGATACTTTTTTAGTGCACACCTACACGAAAATGATTGACGTGTTATTATAGTGTTACCTTCTGTTTAGGGAAGCTTGGCCTACTAACAGAAAAACTTTTTGTTCGTCTTACATTTGAAAATAAACATAACACAAACAAAAAGCTTCTCTGTCAGTAGAGAAGTTAAACCTTAAAGAAGAATTTGTATGAAATATTTTATAGAAACAGATCTTACTTGGCTTCCTCCAGTTCTTCAGTTCTCTGGATGGCATCAGTTTCGTACTTGGTTCTCCACTGTGCCACCTCAGAATTAGCTTTGGACATGCCTCGCTGTAGCTCTGCTTTAGCTTCCTGCTCCTCCTCATACTGCTCTCTAAGCAGATCTGTGTCATGACGGGCTGACTGTACAGCATGGGCGAGAGCGCTTTTTGCCTGGAGGAGGTTGCATAATTATTTAACAGACCAAAAAAATGATGGCAAATAATTAAAAAAGAATTTTAAACTCAATTCACACCTTTGTTTCCTCCTCCAGTTGTCTTTTAAGATCTTCAATTTGCTGAGTGTAAGACATCTTGCTTCTGGTTAGCTGGGAGACAAGAGAGTCCTTTTCCTCCAGCTGTCTTGAAAGTTCACCTAAACGTATGATCATGTATTTTATCATTGTTGGAGGTCTGTTGCTCAAATAATTTAATTGAATGTTATTTACTAATCTTACCATTTTCAGATTGTAGTTTAGATTTCTGCATTGTGAAGTCATTAATGCAGCGCTGACCTTCCTCATATTTTGTTTTATATTCATTCATTTGGTCTTCTAAAGATCTGGTCATCTTCTCAAGATTTGCCTGTACAAGGTAAACAGTTTGGCTAAGAATTACTTTTTAGCTGAGAAAAGCAACATTCATTTTTCTTTATGAGTGTTTGTATTTACAATACCTTTGTCTTTACAACATGTTCCATGTTTGAGACTACATCATCCAACTCCAGCCTAAGTTCACTTTTCTCCTTCTCCAGTTTTTGCTTGACCCTCTGCAGATTGTCTATCTGCTCTCCAAGTTCAGCCACACTGTCGGCTTGTTTTTTCCTGAGTGTGGCGGCAGTGGCCTCATGCTGCAGAGTGGCCTCTTCAAGGTCTCTGCGGAGCTTCTGAAACTCTGCCTCTCGTTTCTTATTCATCTCAATCTGAGCAGCTGTAGCTCCTCCAGCCTCCTCCAGTCTCTCGCTGATCTCCTCCAGCTCTCTGGCTAAATCTGCTCTCTGTTTCTCCACTTTGGCTCTAGCAGCTCTTTCTGCCTCAAGCTCTTCCTCCAGCTCCTCAATACGTGCCTAGTAATGACAATATGCCAGGGTTGACTCATTTCAAATTTCAATGTTAATATGCACTATTTTTTTAAATTGTTACCTGAAGTTCCTTCAGTTTTTTCTGCAGCTGAATGCAAATAGTTTGTTCGTCTTCGATTTTCCCATTGAGCTGACTGATTTCAAAGTCTTTCCTATAAATAGAAATGGGTGTTTATAATTGTAAAGTTCTTGGTGATGAACAAACAGATCGGACTGTGAAAGATTGGGAGTTTTTGCCTTACTTTTTTAGACGCTCCTCTAACTGCTGCTTGTCATTTTCCAGGTCCATTAGGCTTTCCTGGGTTAATTTCAAGTCTCCTTCTAGTTTCCTCTTGGCTCTTTCTAGATCCATGCGGAGCTTCTTTTCTTGCTCAAGAGATCCTTCCAGCTGATATAAGTAATTTAAAAATGATTGATTGCTTATTTAATATGCCTGTTTGTTTTATGCAATTTGCTTGCTGGAATATTAAAACAGAATTTTCTACACTATAAAAATGCTGGGTTGTCGTAAGCCAACAATGAGCTTCTCCATATATGACCCAAGGCTGGGTTACAATAACCAAGCAATTTTTAGAGTGTGTATGTATGGTAGGGGTAAATTGTAAAACTCACATCATCTACTTGTTGCTCTAGCTTTGCTTTTGCCTTGGTGAGGGTGTTGACTTTGTCCTCCTCACTCTGCAGGTCATCCAGTGTCTGCTGATGAGCTTCTTGCAAGGCTTTCTTCTCTTTGGTCAGCTTTGCGATTATGTCGTCCAAAGCTGCCATTTCTTCTGTCAGGTTCTTTACCTGTAAAAGAACATGCATACTAAGGATGTTTTTACACTTGTACGGTTGATCTCTTGTTTGTTTGGTCCAGACAAAAAAGGGAAATATTACATTTAGTCCCCATTCATTTAGCATTCACACTGACATCTTTAAGACCAAATTTGAAGATAAAGAAATCCGTTTATAGCACAGAACTTAACATACATCCAAAACAATGCCATGTGATGGGCTAAATTTGCAATAATTTGTACATCTAAGAGCTTGTATAAAAAGGCAAACCAGACCTTGTTCTCAGTAGCATGCTTCTCTTTCTCGACTTTAGCCAGAGTGAGCTCCAGATCATCAATATCCTTCTTCAGCTCAGAGCATTCGTCCTCCAGCTTTCTCTTCTTAGCTGTCAGCTCTGCATTCATCTCCTCCTCATCCTCAAGTCGCTCGGTGAGCTCTTTGGCTTTAGCCTCAAGCTGAATCTTGTTTTTGATGAGCTGGTCACATCGTTCCTCTGCATCACAGAGATTGTCTTGCTCCTGTTTTTAAACATATGTAAAATTACAGTGATTTCTATACTACACACTCATGTACCTACATGTGTTGCAAATATTAACTGACCGCTTGAACTTGAAGTTGTAGGTCATTCTTCTCTTGGAGAAGAGACACCATTTTTTCTTCTAGCTCTTTCCTTCTCGCTTCGGATTTAGCATAAGCCTCTTTGAGCTTGGCAAATTCATCTTTCATATTTGCCATCTCTTTCTCTGCTTCTGCTGACTTGAGAAGAGGTTTTATCTTGAAGAAAAGCTTCATCCAGGGCCAATTTTTCACCCCCATGAAGGCACGGACATTCCACTGGATAACCAGTAGGGCATCCCTATGAAGAGGTTACATTTTTTTCATCATCCAAGGTCAACAGCAAGCAAATTATGGAAATGTAAGGTAATATGGAATATGCAGGATCCTTGCCTTCTTTCAACTATCTTTTGGAACTCAACCCTTGCAAGAAGTCCTCTGGATCTTGCCTGAATTCCAGAAATAATTAGAGATAGTCTGTCATCTCTCATTTCTTCAAGCTGACCGAGTAAACCAGCCTTGAAGAACACCTAGGTAGAATTCATTATAGAAACAAACATTTACTTACAGAACTACATTAGCATTGCTATATGTGCAGTAATGTAATTTAATCCATACAAAATAACCTTTGTGTGTCCAAATTTATATTGATTGTGATCAATATCCAGTGAACCCAACAGTTTCTCTGCTCCTTTCCTGCTGTCTATGAACTGACCTTCAGGTATGGCTGCAGGATTTAGGATTCGGTACCTGTAATTAAGTACATAAAATATCTAAGAATGGAAAGTGTTGCTGTAAATTCAGGTAAAGTGTTACAGAACCAATATTAATTACCTCTGTTTGAAGTCCCCATAGAGGATTCTGTTGGGGAAGCCCTTCCTGCAAATCCTGATGCCCTCCAGCACACCATTACAGCGCAGCTGATGCATGACCAAAGGATTCTCCATTGCACCAGGAGTCTTTGTCTCATTAGGAATGATGCAGCGCACAAAATGAGGGTGAGTTGACCTTAGGTTTGTCATTAACTTATTTAAGTTTTCCTGTAGGGAGAAATGTACGTGGAATTTAAGACCAAAGAGATTAAGAACTATTTTCAGTTTCCTACATTTTTTTTTAAACATGTCCACAACAGTTACAATTACCCTGTGGAGTGCAGACACAGTCTGGAAGGAGGAGCCCTTCTTCTTACTTCCACCTCCTTTACCTCCCTTACCATTATCTTGAGATGGTCAAAATATAAGAGATTAATTACTTAAATCTTGTAACACTTAAATCACTTGTGATTGCATATGAGATTCTATTGTGCCAGCGTGGCTAATTTAGCTTGGACATACCTGATTCTGTCCCTGCATAGTTAGCAAAGAGCATTGACAGAAGTTTGACTGTAGACTTTTGAAAGAGTCCCACCACAGTCTCATTTAATGGGTCTTTGTTCTTCACCAGCCAGTTGTTGATATTATAGTCAACTGTACCAGCATAGTGGACCAGAGAAAAATGAGACTCTGGCTTCCCTTTGATTGCTCTTGGTTTCTGGAAGTTATTTGATTTCCCAAGATGGTTGTCATAAAGCTTTGCTTTAAAGGTTGAATCACTTGCTTTGGGAAACATGCACTCCTCTTCAAGGATGGACATGATGCCCATAGGCTGAAACAATCAGGTGTGATAGTGAAAAGTAAGTATAGTATGTAAAGTATATACTGTATCACTTAATTTAATGTTCATAATGCGTCAGAATGACACAAATTGGTGACTCACTTTCTCAATGAGATCGATGCAGGCCTGCAAGTCCATGCCAAAGTCAATAAACTCCCATTCAATCCCTTCTTTCTTGTACTCCTCTTGTTCCAGCACAAACATGTGGTGGTTGAAAAACTGTTGCAGTTTCTCATTGGTAAAGTTGATGCAGAGTTGCTCAAAGGTGTTAAACTGTAGTTTTGAAATTGAAAGAGTCAGTTAAGCGACTCAATTATATGCATTTTTAAGCATGATTTCATAAGGATCTATCCAGGAAGACTTACATCAAAGATCTCAAAGCCAGCAATGTCCAGCACTCCAATGAAGTATTGGCGTGGTTGTTTGGTGTCTAGAGACTGATTGATTCTTACAACCATCCAAAGGAACATCTTTTCATACACTGACTTGGCTAGTGCACCAATAGCGTAGTACACCTGAGCACAGAGAAGCAGTTATCTGGTATGCCACTACGTGAATCATTAAACCATTTTGGTAACAACACTCCAACTCACCTGCTGGACATTTTGTCCTTTGGTGACCCACTCATTTCCTACTTTGACTCTTGGGTGGCACAGACCCTTGATAAGGTCAGCAGAGTTTAGGCCCATCAGATATGCGACTTTGTCTCCATCTATGAAATAGATCAGATTTATCTATTTGGAGGGAATGTAATATTATGGACTAAATGATATTGCCTTTAGCTTGCTTCTTTAGGAATTATACTCTATTCACCTTCAGTTCCATCAGCCTCTGCTTGCTCCTCCCTCTGCTTCTG